ATCGGCGTCTCCAAATTGAGCACAGCCTCGAAGCAAGCCAACACAGGCAGGCGACAGCTAAACCTAGTGCAACGCGGCTCTTGTTTTGCAGTTTCAACCCTAAACTATGCCTGCGTAGATCCCCAAACAGTGAACCGCACAGCAAAGACACTGAATACACCACGCGAGCCCGTGCGAGCCTGCGCCGAAACTGCGGACAAACCACCCACACCAGAGTGAACCCGAGGGCCAAGGAGACCAGGACGAGGACGACCAGGACACTAGGAGACCACCAGCAACGGAAGCAAGCCACCGGGACAGCCGGGACGGTCAAAATGTTGGGCGCCCTTGTACTGGCGGGATATAGAGACATGACCTACGTGCTTCCCACCTCCACTGCAGGGCGAGCTCAGACATCTCGATTTACAATACATCCTGCTTTGCGGAGCAGAGGGCCCGACCAGGAGTGTGTGAATAGTAGGACATGAGCCACAATCTGCACCCACCACCACGTGCGGAGTGCGTGCCTCGTGGACACGTGTGTACCACTGCATACGACTAAATGCCCGTTGACGTGTGCTAGACTTGTTTTTATCGCCAGAACGTGTCCAAGGCCCAAGACGGCAGCTCGTGAACAGCACGGGCCGCATGCTCAGTCAGTTCATGTTCTTGAATCATGCCTTTGGAACACGAGCCGATTCACCTTTCAGTTTGAAGCATGGCTGTGGGGAGGCGGACTTTCGTCGATCGATTGGCTGAAGCGCCGCCCACCCGCAGTCGGTGGGCGGCCTATCTTTAAAAGGCTTTTCTTTTTGCATTCCCACCAAGAGGCGGCCTTAAGCACCGGAAGAAGGATTAGGCCTAAACTCATGCCCTGCTGGAGGGCAAGCGCCAAGAAAGAGCTTTTGGGCAGCTTCTCCCTTCGGATCGACGGCCCAGGTTCGTGGAGTCGGCGAGACGTTTCCTGTGAATTTCTTCTCGTTACTACATGTCCAAGGCCACATCACTGCAGATTAGCGATTCCTTTCTATGGTGCTTATCCGCCAGTCTTGATGAGACCGCGAACCTCGTATCCTACAGGTCTGCATGCACTGCACCTTGGTCTGCATGGAACAGCAACAGCGTAGTTCAGGGCACATCGACAAGTCCCCCCAACACACGGCGAAACGAGTGATATAGTCACAAAGCTCCGAGCGCCAGGCAGGTCTCCAGGTTCTCCCGCAGGAAGAACTCTGCTTCGTCCAGCTTGCCACCCTGCTGCAGAAAGTCGGCCAATTTGATCCTGGACTCCAAGGTAGTAGCGCTGTCTTCTCCGGAGTTGGCACGGCCTCGGAAAAAGCCAACGCACACAGGTGACCACAGTTTCGCGGTTACATTTTTCTGACTGGCAGTTGATCGATGCTCCACATGTTGTGCTTGCCAATACATGTCCAGGATGCAATGCGTCCTCGATTCCTTTCGGTGGTGCTGAGTGTGCGATGTTCAAGCCTTGCTGGGCCTGCAAGCCTGAAAACCTGCTGGCTACACGCTGGCTACATGTGACAAAGAGCCCGACACGACAAGTCCCCCCCCCCCCCCCCCCCCCATTCACGGCGAGACGTGTGTTCTGGTCACGAAAAGCTCTGAGCGCCAGGCAGGTCTCCAGGTTCTCGCGCAGCAAGCGCTCTGCTTCGTCCAGCTTGCCACGCTGCTGCAAAAACTCGGCCAATTTCTCTCTTGATTTCGCGCCGCGAGAATCGGCGTCTCCGAATTGAGCACAGCCTCGAAGCAAGCCAACACAGGCAAGCGACAGCTAAACCTAGTGCAACTCGGCTCCTGTTTTGCAGCTTCAACCCTAAACTATGCCTGCGTAGATCCCCAGACAGTGAACCGCACAGCAAAGACACTGAATACACCACGCGAGTCCATGCGAGCCTGCGCCGAAGCTGCGGACAAACCACCCCCACCAGATTCAACCCGAGGGCCCCAAAGGGGACCAGGACGAGGAAGACCAGGACAACCGATCAGGAGACTATAGAGACCACCAGCATTAGAAGAGCAGACCAGCATGGCGGGGCAAAGACATGACCTACGTGCTTCCCACATGTACCGGCGAGTTCAGACATCTCGATTTACACAACATCCTGCTTTGCGGAGGAGGGGTGCCGACCGGAAGTGTGCGAATAGGCGGACATGCGCCACAATTCGCGTCCACCACCGCGTCCGGAGTGCGTGCAATGCCAGCTGGTGCGTGCTAGTCTTGTTTTTTCGCCAAAAGATGTCCAAGACCCAAGACGGCAGCTCGTAAACGGCACGATGACCACTTCATGCAGATCCGGTGCTGCCTTGGATTGAAGAGGAAGCCTTCGGTGGTTGGTCGGCACGTGCCTGCAGTTGAAATGGAGTGTCCTAGCATACAACTTCGAATCATCGATGCCGAAACGCACCCAAGCCTACACCCTGTAACCGCTGATCCACTCGAGACTAGTCTTCGTCCATAGACCCGTGACCCTAAACTCCTAAACCTCAGGCCCCAACTGCGGGGATCCCCTCGAGTCGCTCATTATACTACATGTACCGTGTACGTCATATTCTCAATCCATTATATGTTGCATTACATTATACCCTATTATATATATATATATATAGATACATACGTATATATATATATATATATATATATATATGTAGAGCTATGCTCATGCTATTTCCTAGTATGTTGTATTATGTATATACGGTACTATGCCTATATACGGTACTATGCCTATAATGCTCTCCCGTCGAACTCGGTGTCCGGCCCCAGACATCTCCAGGCCTCTAGCGAGAAGGCTTCTGCAGGGTTTGCGGTCCAGGGGTTTAGGGCTGTAGGAATTTCAAGCGTTTTGGATCTTTTTGCCACGGAAGCTCCCAATGCACTATCGGCGGTCTCAAGCTCTGCTGACGTTGAGACTCCCCAACTGTCGACTGCAAGGGCGCTCGCAAAACCCCTTATAAGCCAAAGCCAGGAAGGGAGTACGATTTGTGCAGCACAGATGGTGGACTTTGTCAACCTACAGCGACACATGCCTGTAGATACTCACTATGGCTTTCAATGTCTCAACATACTTTAACCTCATGACTCCGTATATTGCCCCCCATAGACCCACGCCAAAGTTGCTTTTGCAGTAGCTTAAGTTACCGCAGCAAGGAAACACACATGATTTGCTACATTGTGCTACATGTTCCCATTCGCAGCAGCTTGCATGCATATATTTACATCCATATCCGTATCCACATCCACATCCATGTCTGTATGTATATATGGATACACACACACACACACACACAATTCGGCCTTCAGCTGTGCTCCGCGACTCGCGCCTCGCAGACTTTCCTGGGGCCCACCCCACAAGCGCCCAATGAGCTCGCAATCAGGTCGACAGGTCTTCTTATCCGCCTCTTGCTAAGGGTTTAGGGTTTAGGGCGCTGCAAAGAAAACTATCTGCAAGGTGTGGTAAACCTGTTATGCAGGCTTGCCACGAGGCGCACTGCCATAGTAGTAGCACAGCTTTTCTCCGTGATGTGGCGGGACTGAGGGAGCTGAACACCAGTACTTCGTCTGTTAAAGGTACAACATCATATGCCCCTGCAAACCCCATATTTCAAACAGCGAGGCCGCTACATCAGGCGGCCGGCGCCCACAGCTTCTTTGGGCATGGCCGTTGTCACCCCAGGATCTACAGGTCGTCTATAACATGCAGTTTTTTGACTTTCCAAGACTTCGAATAGAGGTGTCGAACGTGAAAGATGGATTTGCAATCTGCAATCTGCATATTCCGAACTGCCGGAAGCATCTGTTCCACGAACATCGCTGTTGCCTTGCTTACTGAAGAATGTGAGCGTCGGGTGATGTATTGGAAGCTAGTGTGCTACGAAGCCAGGACGGCACCGGAATGATTTGGCTTAGGGTTTAAGGGTTTAGGCTTGAGATTTTAGGTTTAGAGGGCTTAGGGGGGCAGCGGTTCAGGGTAAGCTAGGGTTCATATCCTCGGGGCCTTGCTGCAGAAATTGCAAGCTCCCGAAAGTTGTGCCAAGGACTCTCTCCGAAGTTTAGGCCGGACGGTCGACCCAAATCCAGAACTGAAGGCAGGAGCTTGGACTCTTGCAGAAAAGAGAGCCCAGTCCTACCATGTCCTACCTAAAGTGCCTACTGTCCTCTGTACATGCACCTGAAAAGTACAGACCATCTTTGTACCTAGACCCTTTCGGTAAATCCGACACCCTCCACCAGGACCTGCCACCCCGAATTCGAAGTACAAGTTCCATCGTCCCGCAAAGAACTCTGCAGGAAGGTACAGTCAGAAGCGTGACCTCTGTTGTAGGGCTGCGGAATTGCCGGCTTGTGCGGTGCTTCTCAAGCTTCCGCGTCATGGAGGGTTCAGGGCTCCAGAACTCTGACAAGTGTTTCTTTCGCGGCTCGATACGACACTCAATCTCCAGGCCACAGCTGGGCCATTTCACTGAAACGTTTCAGTTTCAGGTGAGATCTGTAGAGCCTGCCCTAAACCCTATAACCCTATATAACCCATCCTAAACCCTAAACCGAAATCTCAAGCCCTAAACCAAAGTCCGTCCGCAGGACGGGCGGGAGAGTGCGCTGGAGATACTGAGCGGAAGAAAAGGCACATCTGGAGACGTGGTATCCTTTTATGGAAAGACAGGTTCAATCATATTCAGGCTTTCCAGATTTTGGTTCGACTGTTGCCTTCAAGATCTAAGACTCCGCGACTCGTCTCCTTTGTTGCTTCTCTTGCCTTCAGAACCTTATAATTTCATAATTAAAGACTTCCCCACCCATCAATGAACGGGCTCGTGCAGAAGGAACTTGCGAAAGCCCTTGGGTAGAAATCGCTAGCGTGGCCACTCGGGGAAGGCAGGCTGTCCCCGTGTTTGATGAAACCATATTGCCATGTGGAAGAAGACCCTTAAACCAAAGTGCAAACACGAAGTCCGGCAAACTCAGAAGACAAGGAGGGACCGATTCATGTTCAAGCACCTGCCAGTCACATATGCTGGATCGCTGTGAACCAGGCATCACAAATCTCCGCAGCAACCCTCTCCGGGTCGGACATGTCCTTGTCGATGATGCGCACCAAGTCACTCCGAAATACCAAGGCATTCAGTGCCCGGCCTTCCTCATCTTTGGGGCAGGGTGGAAAGTCATGGCAGAGCTGGATTGGCAGAATGGCGAGCTTGTTCTGGTGAGCATATTGGAGCTCTATATAGGTTTCATACTGCGCGCCAGTTTTCTCTCCGTAGTCCCAGGTACAGAAAGGCAGCAGTGCTTTGGCCTTGTACAAGAGCCGCGCCGTTTGGTCTCCGAACGTGGCGCCAGCAAAGTTGGCCCTCACCATATCAACGGGAACAGACCTGTCCCGAAGCATGTCATTGACCTGCCTCATGTAATTCATCTTCTGCTGATCGTTGAACCGACCAGAGATCATCAAGTTTCTTCGTTGTGAAGATTGAGGTCCGGCGGGTGGTGGGGGAGGTGCTTGAGTTGGAGGGTCCGGCTGATGCTCTTCATCTGGAGGCGGCGGAGGTGGCGGAGGTGGTGGCACCACCTTCCAAAGAGACGTGGCAGAGTCTGAGCTGGCAACAAGACGCATTTGAGGTTTGGCTAGCAGATGTGGATGTGATATCCCAGCTGGACCAGTATACAGAGTATACCCTGCATCTGCTAGCAGTGAGAGAACCGGCTGATATCTACACTGACTACTCTCCGATATGGTTGACTATTCGCCTTGTGTGATGCTAAGCCAACTGCCTCTGTAAAAACAACTCAAGGATATCGAGCTCTCTGGCTAGTGTCAGGTTCAACAGAGGGCGGGAACATCAACGAACAGGGCAATAATCAACACACGTGCCAATCACTTGCAGGAGACATTTGTAATGCAGCTCTCGTAGTAAGATTCCGGGAGCCACTATTAGGCACCTAAGATAAACTGCCGAAGGTAACATGTGTGTCGGGTTTCCCTGCTTTATGTTCGGTAGAACATGACACAGCGTTCATACGGCATAACCCTTCAAAACCAGTTTGTGTTTGGATCCACAGGCAAGCCCTCGGGCTGGCAGAGACAAGGCCTGGAGAAGGAGCCCGGCATTCTCGCCGCTGTCGGCATGAGCCTTAATGATTAGTGGCAAGTGCTGACCACCCTATGGTCTCCATTGCAATTCCTTTTTGGGGTTACCTTATAGGAGCCCAATTACATATTTGGTTAACCCAAAAAAGGAACTACAATGGAGACTATAGGACAAACCATGGCTTCAGGATTCGAGAATCTAGCGTTTGCGGCTTGAGTATTTAAAGTTTTAGGATTTCCAGGTTTAGGGTTTCATTTAGGCTGCGGGGGTTTGCTGCTTCTTGATGGTTCAAGCTGTGACTTGGGCACACAGGCTTCCAAGGTACTGGCTCAGACTTGAGGTGCGGAGGTTTACAAACGGGAATGTTGTCGCAACTCTTCGTGGCAGACCAGTCAAGCATCACGGGGTTTACAGAAGCCGGAAACTTCAAAATCCCTGTCGCAAGTCAAGGGTACTATCCTACAATAACTTGTAGAGAAGATCCGACCAAAACCCAAACCCTAACACCGAACCGTAAGGCTAGAACCCATACCTTGTAGTAGCACAAAATCCCAAGCGTAACCCTAAATCCCAAACTCGTCAAACCTGCAAGAAGCGAAGCGGCTTGCTGCAACAGTTCCGCAATGTGCAATCGGCCAGCCTCCAGCTCACCTTCAGGGAAATTACATGAGGCATAGAATGGGCATAGGGTCCTCCTCTAGAAAACACGTAACTGAGAAAATGCGCTAATGCATAAAACATGTACATAGTGCGTTATAACCCGGTCTTCATTTCGGGTCTTCACAGTTTACTTGTATAGGTGACGGTGTAGGTAAGGCTGTCTGACTCTCCGCTAGACATTTCAGTGGACTCAGTAGAAACATGCTTTCCTTTGCAATGCCTCTTGTCAAGGGTTACGTTAGCTAAGTTTCTCTTTGGAGATTCGCTCGAAAGGCAAGAACATGATAGCACAATTTACCGGTCTCTCTTCTTGTGGCTTCCCTCTCCCTCTCCTTCTCCTTCTCCTCTCCGTCTCTCTCTCTCTCTCTCTCCCTCTCTCTCGCTCTGGTGTACATGCTATGTGTGATTCTTCTCGGTCGCTGCTAGAGAGTATATGCCTGTGCTCAGGAAGGTGTGAGGCTCCTCCGCCGTGTAGACCTCGCGAGTCGTGGGCTCAACGCAAAACAAGTAAGACTAGCCCGTACATGACAACTGCTTCAGAAGCCGGTTTTAGCATGTGTAGACCAAGCTTTAGGTTAGGATATGATGACGCCTCCACATCACTTTGCCAAGGCAGAATCAGATGCCTCGGTTGCATGTGCATGATGCATATGACGCGGACAATTGCACAACAGACTGCAACACTTGTCAAATAAAAACGACTAAAACTGATGTTTGCTGGAGCGACAATCCGGCAGCATTTCCGACTTCTTGTCCGTACAGCGGTGGCAGCGGCGGTGGCGGAGGCGAAGGCGTTATGCTACAATCCTCCGTCCGTGGTGTTGTTGTTGGTGGCGGCGGTGGTGCTGCTGGCGAGGCCACTTTCGATAGCACCGTCGAAAACTCTTCGTGCAGCCCTCGGCAAAGCGACACAACACAAACTGATCCGTCTATCCAGGGGCTTGAACTGTGCCCCCATGCTTGGGAAGGTCGTGACTTGTGCGGGTCGTGCCAAGAAACTGAAGGCATGGACCGTGTCAGCAATCTCAACCTCGAACTGTGTTTGCTGAGCTTGAAAGCATCGGCTGGTGACGAGTGGTAACCTGTTGAAGTTCAAAGCAATATCTTGATGATCATGTTGATCCTGTGCTATGGTGAGTCTGTCTCCATGGCTGTAGGAGCCTGCGCAAAACGCCGGCCCGCACTCATCGAAACCCCTTAACACGTTGGGGTCCACGCGGTAGTCAGACATCGGCTCTAGTTGCTGGGTACAAGATGGACAGTTTGCGTGCAGAACTGCACATTTTCCCCTCCCTGTGGTTCCGTCCATGAAGCCTCGGACCAACACTCCCCGCGGCTTTGGAGCGCAGGTACCATCAGTTCCGACAAAGAGCTCGCAAAAATGATCCAGCCACAGCACGGCGTGTCCTGGATAGAACTTCGCATCCGGAAGCGACTCCCAACCGCCATCCGACGATGAACGCCAGACTGCCTGAGCACCCATGCAGACACGGATGATAAGAAGTACCGGCTCCTCATCAAAGCGAGTCTCGTGCGGCAGAAGCTTCAGGACAGGGCTCAAAGGACACACGTTCGCCGGCAGCTTTGGGCATTCTTCCAAGCCCGTAATCTCGAACCTGGCACGCGAATGCCTTCTCGAGACCATCACCACTCCATGCCGGATCTGTGCAAAGTCGTGTTGTCCCAGTGTGACGAGCAAACCATCCACCTGCCCGAATGCGCTCTGTTGCAATGCAAGCCCCGTAGTTCCAAGCAGCTGGCCTCAAAGCCATACCTAACCCCCGAAATTAGGTAAAGTAATGGCCGATAATTCCAATAGGTATATATCGTTCTACATTACATACTCTTGTGGTCCACATACACCCTTGTCCCCTTAAACCTGAACGTTAATGCGGGTCCCAATCCCGCCTGGTCATGCGTGACTGCTGTCTTTGTCGGAGGCGAGATCTCACATTCTGCTCGAGAAGTATCACGACCTGGCTGTCATGTTTGGTTTCGCTAAACCCAAACGTATAAACCCTAAATCCTAAACGCTGAAGTTCATGTCATCAGCTCATAGGTGCAGAGTTAGATTCGTTTTGGGGCTGCCGAGGGTCGAAGGATGCCTCAAGGTTTTGCAGCCAAGGACTGTTCCAAGGTCCCTCCTAGACCCTCAACGGTAAGCCCCCAAAACCCCCAACCCTACACCCTCATCACAAAGGGCTAGTTACGGCTAGTTGAGACCTTTGGTTTCAGCTACGACACGAACTTGGAAACATTACATCGCCCTCCTTAACAATGAGAACAGGTTTTGGGGCCCATTTATAATAAGGAACACTCAAAATAGTGTATTGGTAAGTATTTAAGCCGGCCTTAGTTGCTAGTATAGGTTGTTTACATGCATGATATTGGTAATTACATAGCATCCTCGGGCCGTTGCCTCGTTTTTCGATGCTCTCACAGCGTTCCAGGAAGCTCTTCGCCTTTCCATCCTCACCCGAACCCCCGTAGACCGATCCGAGCTCCCTCAGAAACGGTATCGCTTTTGGATGATCTGTGCCATGATGGCTCTCGACCATCTGTAAGCCACGTTCCAAGAGCTTAGCCTGCTTCTCATGCTCCCCAAGAAACCCATACCCCATTCCCAGTTCGAGCAGTGTCTCTGCTAAGTCAGACTTTCTGGAGTCGTCCTCCCAAAGTCGCTGCTCCTGAAGATTCGCACAATCTTCCAGCAAGTGAACCCGCCTGCGGTGGTCGCCCAGCTTTCCGTACGCAACTCCGAGCTTGAAAAGTGTGGCCGGCATCTCTGGATGCTCATAGCCATGCTGCTCTTCCTCAATGTTGACACATCTCTGCAAAACTTCGGCCATTTGGCGAAAATCATTCATTTTTTCCAGCACGTCTCCGAGCTTCTTCAGTGTGGACACAACCTCCGGATGATTTGCTCCGAGGTGTCTCTGCTTGAAGCTGAGCGAATGCTCTAGCTGCTGCTTCTGCTCCCAGAACCCGTCCACCTCGGGCACATGATTGCAGGGATTGCGCAAACGCAGCCACCCACATACAGAAAAAAACAGTGAAACAAGACTTTCTGCCAGTCCTTTGAATCGACATCATCTTCCGTGACCACGACGAGGAAAACTTCATCACGCACGCCTGGGACACTCTGGTTCGGGAATCTTATCGACTAAGAAGCTCGAGACATGCACGAGTTGGCACAACAGCCGTGCGTCGCACCGCTGCTGCGAAATCCATCCCAATAAGCAAGTGCTACCAGAACCCGGAAATCTTTGAATATCTGTCTTGCCTAAAACCTCAAACCCGAATATTGATAAGTGCGTTTCTTGTGCACAGGCAGGTGCGGGGTCAGGACGTCATCCATGGCTTTCAGAGTAGTGGATACTAGAAGCATGCCCAATATCGAACATCAACATCTGCTTCACTCAGAGACTCACACTCGCAAGTTGCAGTCTCCTGGTCTAGGGAAAGCCAAAGAAGGGATTGGATTTTTAAAACCCAGCGACCCAGAGAATCTAGGGCCTAGGGGTGACTTGTACAGTAACTTCAACAGCACCCGTCCCCATTCCGACATGCTACCACCCAACAGACATGCAACAAAGACTTTGGGAGCCTGCCTGCATCTTCAACAGTGGCCTCGGCATTTAGCGCCTGTCAGGGAAACGAAATCATGTGGATACAATTGCTTTGGACATTAGGATCAACAAAACGCCTTTTCAGCAGCAACATAGCCCGATGTGGCTTTACCACATATGAATGATAGTCGCAAATATCGATAGTTGCATAAACTCGCCTTGGCCCCGACCGAAGCGGTCAGAGATTCTCATACGGATCCTCTGTGCGAACCCCTGGATGAGCCCCAAGGACCCACGGTGAAATTTCGTCTCCTCCAATGGATTTGGGCCGCGGACCCCCCCTCTCCGCCCCCGTTCCCCTCCCTCTTGCTTCTTCCCTGCTAGACAACCGCGCTGAGACTGCAAGGTTTCTGTCTGAACTAGCGAAATTGGTTCGGCAAGGAAAGTTTCGCGTTAGACAACCAGCTCCAGCCAGTTCGGCACGTGCGTGTGTGGCCGCGCGAAGCCCGCGCGCCTGCCCACTTATATCCTCTCCCTTCGGTACTCCCGCCCGCCACCGCTTTTATTGCCATTGTTGTTTATTTCCTAAGATTTGTTTGGCTTTCTTTTCACTTTACTTTTTGCCTTCTCTTGCACCCCAACTGCACTAGCTGAAGGATCTGAAAGATTTGTCGTCCAGATTCTTACAACCACTTCGACAAATGTGACAGTCTTTTTCTTCTCGTTTGCCGCCCCGCCTTTTCCACCACTCTTGTTTTTTTTTTGCGGCCCGCCTTTTCCGCCACTTTTGCTGTTGTTTGCGATTCCTGTTGTTTTATGATCACTTTGCTTCTTCCTTCGGCTCGTCCCACCTGCACTGGTTGAAGGCTTCGTCGTCAAACTTCTTACTCTCCTCCCCTGCTTCCCGTCCCGCTCCTTCCCCCCTCCTCCCGGTTCTCCCGCCCTCCATTGCTCTTTCCGCCACCCCTAAACCCGAAACGATGCGGGTTTTTGGGTTTTTGGGGTTTAAGGTTTAAGCTTTAGGGTTGAGAGTTTCGGGTTTAAGGCCTACGGGCCTTGGTAGGCTTTCGGGTTGCTGCTTTCCGAAACAATGCACCTGCTTCAAGCACAGCCGGGCCGAGGTGGACGACCCGAAGCGTTAAAATTGGGAGGAGGGCGCTGTGGACGCTTGTCTGTTCCACACGGGAACGCAGCGGAAAACCGTCGAAGCTGAAAGAACCCCATATCCCGAAAACATAAAATCACCAAGACCCATCCAGATTCAGCCACGGTCACACCCCCTCTAAGACCTACCTTCATGTATGTTTCTATTCGTATAATACCTTTTTCCAAGGCTCTTTATACATAGAAGCCTTGTGAAACATCGTGAATTATGGTGTATTCTCAGCAGATTCTATCTTATGGCATGCTTGCTCTCCTCGCGAACCGATATGACGCTTACCAAATAACGGCTGAGCAGGATCCCGTCCGGTTTTAACAAAGGTTATGAGGCACCAGGCATGGCATTTCGGCATATGCATACAAAATCGGGTTAAATAGGGTATAGTAGAGAATATGATGTAGCATGGCATAGTGCACCAGCGTATAGGACAGAACAGTATAGTGCAGTATTGTAAAGTATATTCTAGTTCATCATAAAAGTGTAGTATAGTCTGATATAGAACCATGCTGTATACTTTGCAAGAAATATACAGGTTATGGCAGTCTGATATCATACAAGATCGTTGAATATTAGTATCTTTATACTGAAGGTCAAGGTAGAGATTAGACTTATGTTCTAGTCTACTACATTACTTTACAGTATGTTGCGACATAGTATTATACGGTATAGTGCAGTGCTTTGACACCAGATTATGGTGTAGTAGTGTAGTATAGGATATACTATATGGTATAATATACTCTAGTATGGCACTAACGCAGCTTGGTGTAGGATAATGCACTGTCGCATGACCTAGTGTACTACTTTAGGAGGGTATAGTAAAGCATAGCAGGATATAGTAAAGTATAGTGCGCCAGCATAGAATAGCGCAGTATAGTCTAGAATCTAGTGTACTATTCTGCCGTCAGCTCTACTTCTTTGTCGAAGCCGAGCATAGTTCATAGAAAGAGCGATGTACGTTTATGAGTCGAAAAATCTGGTATCACGCGTACGCCATATCCACTTAGAAGGCTTGGGGTCGACACCACAGGGTATCCGCTCGCAGCACTCTCGGTGGCAAAGTGGCGGGGTTTGTCGCAGGTACGAACTGGAGCTCGCTACTCGTGGTGCCGGTGTGGCTGTGCTTTCTTTCATAGTGTGCGTTTGTTATGTTTACATATAAGATGAATGAAATCATGACTCCGGATTCCCACTAGACTAATGTTCTTCCAGAAGACTCATCGAAGGACCTTCATTGTCCTGCATCGACTATGCAAATGATGTACTACAGTATTTGTTTGAACATAGGTTATTAGAGCGTAGTATAGTACGATGTGCTAAAGATAAGACTTGACGCCATGATCTAGTATAGTGTAGTGCAGTCTAGTATAGCCATTTATAATGTAATACCGTTCAATACAGGAATATACAGTACAGCACACTCGAGCACAAATGACGGTTATCAAGTATAGACTGTATAGTACAGTGTCAACTACTTTGCAGTACAATCCAATACCGTGTAACACAGTACACTACTATGGGGCTTGGTATATTGTAGTAGAGCTTACTATACTCAAACATATAGCCTAGTCTGCCAACAATGCAGTATAGAATTATGTAGGATGGTACTTCGTTGCATAGTTTCGCAATGGTGTAACTAATCTCGTCTACTATAGCATAGCAGCGGCACACCTTTAGTTTGGCATGATAGAGTAGACTATAGTATATGAACTTGGGGAGCCGTATGATCCTGATCTCTCCAGCATTAAATTCAACAGATATGCAAACATGGAAAGCCAAATGGATTTCCGCATCTCCACATTTGAAGCTGCAGGCCCCAATGTCCTGACCTCTCGGGCCTTGGACTCAGCACATGTGGACATGTGTAACTCCATTCAGTTTCCCACAATGTGCCAGACAGAGACACTGTTGGGCCCCCCCTGGATCCAAGATGCAAGATTGCAGACACAAGTTTCTTGGATCCGTTCCAAGCGCCACGCGCGCATATTCATACTGGATTGACTGGCGGGTGACCGGTTACGTAGCGAGTGGAGACTGGAACGATGTTTGCTCTGTTAACCCGGAACACCTCTGTGCGTTCAACTTGGGGTGCCTTGAAGCCAGGATCAGAAGCTAGAGGTCAGCAGCTGCAGCAGTACAGTAACCCACGCGGACCAAACATTCTCTGCTACATCATACACTGCTCCGGAAATTAAGCTTGAATCTAAAACGCTGCATGGAGGTTGTTTGACGGCACCTCCGACTCCAACAAGAGGCAGCCGTTCTTCCGGTCTCGGCACAACTTCTCGAACAAGGCAGTATGCTGGCTGGCATGATTGCTATAGACAGCTCTCACTCAGCTACTGCATTGCCTGTCTCCCTGTCCATGTGTGTGTGTGTGTGTGTGCGCACGTTCTCCTGCGAAAGCCAGGAAGCCCACCTGCTGCTTCCAATGCCGTTGCCAACACTTTGGAGACCGGATCATCGAGCTTTACCCACACCTGGCTCACGAGGACACGACATTCGCAGGACTCCGACTGGTCAAGGCAACTGTGCTGTAGAGGATCCTCCAGCGGCCTTGCATATCTCTTCTCCACTTCCGCAGTGTCGAACTGTGATTCTGATGGTGGGGCCTCAGTCGTCACGGCAGCAAGCAAACGTTGAGGACCCAAGCTGTGAGCTAGGTGCCCCTGTATAACAGCCGAAGTGTTACTGTCGGTCTTCCTTTGGTCAGGATGCTGGAAATGCAACAACACATGAAAGCAGAAAGCGCCCGCATGTTTCATGATCTGCGGTGCAAGAAGCCTTGCACACCAATGAATGTCACTTCTCTGACAATCATTGGCTTTCAGGAAGCTAGCGCAGATGGCAAGCAGTATGACACTTTGCTGTGTACTTGCTGTTGTCCGAACTTGGCCTCCCAGGTCCCAGCTGCTCGATAACTCCTGTCTCCCGTTGATAATCCAAATGTGCTCAAGAGCTGCATCTGCCTGAGTCTGCCACGGCTGCATGGTTCATGTGTCCTGCATTCGCATGCTGTTCAGCGGACACATCGGGTAGATTCCAAGCCACCGTCATGCGCTGCATGGGGTCGGTGACCAGAAGCTTTTGAACGAAGTCCCTCCTAGACATCCAGCAATCTCTAAAACCGCTTGGTGACCGCACGCTGAACCCACGTGCATGGTCTTCAGAGAACTGTTGACTTGCGAGAGGACCGCTTCACAGCTGCTTGCAACTCACTGTGCACACCAGGACTAGATTTTGGCGCAAGCTTCGCGTGATTAGAGGCGTTCTGAAGCAGGTCCCACTGCACCAGGCCCTTCGCGATGTCCCTGCCTCAATCCAGATCTATCGTGCTCACTGAAAAATGCCAGACCACACCACGGTGCATGTGCGCAGCGGGCATGAAGCTACTGGTAGCAATCCAGCAAACAAGCTCATCCTGCTCAAGTTTCAGCCGGCTTCGACACCTATCTAGCATTGAAACGCATCAGAGACTAATTATCTCCTGCCTGATACCTCTTTGTAAGGTGGATGTGTAGGAAAGCTTCCTTTGTGCTTACGCCACAGCTGGTTTCCACGGTCGGACCTCTCACGCGATCTGCAGGAGCATGCCACAACAAAGCGAACAAGTGGCGCATGCCATCCAGTCCTCTTAAGGTACTCCATGGAGGTCGACCGGCAAGCAGCATGAAGACCTCAATGGACAAACAAACCATTCGCTCCTGGGTCGGCCCATCCACAGACGCTGTCTTGGAGAAGTTCAAACAATTGCCCGGAATGCAATGCATCACAGTCTGCGCAACATCGGCCAAAGCTGAGCCCAACTCAAGAGACATTGAGCCAGCCGTCCACGAGACGAAATCACTGGATGGGACGAGAAGCACGAAGGATGCCCCGTAAGAGCATTTACGCAAAAGCATTGTATGTGACACCATATACCTTATACAGATTGCGCCAATCCTTGTTCCAGCAATATGAACTCTTCATGAACCCGACCAAGGCTGCAGAACTAAAAACTTGTGTGAGCTGAGTCGCCACAACACCAACGCTCCAAAGGTCCTCGAGCGCGGCTAGACTTGTTCCGGATTGGTTCCGGATACGGTTCAAACCGCCTAAGGTGTAGCCTGATAGAGCGAAATGCCAAGTAGGAGCCAAGGTTCGGATTGGCTCGTGCATTCCTGCATCAGAAATCGCATGCTTGGGCAAAACCCAGCAGTGTCATGAACATCTCCGAGCCTTGCTGCTGATGACTTCTGGACTGCGGAACGGCATGGTGGAAGTGCAAGCTTTCATTTTCATGATAGCATCCTGAGAAGGCGAAGGAACGATAACCCTTATTTCACCTGACGGTACAGACGTTGCCATGTACTTTGACCCTTGTCCGGTGTCGTTTCCAAGCGTCTTCCAAGGTTTCGCAAAGTCCGATGTCACGCAGTTTTAGGTGGGCATCTTTCTCTGCTGACTCCTTGCTTTTTGCAATATCATCAGTCGAGAATTTATAGAGTCCGACTGTGCCCTGCATGCTTCACCGACTCTTGACTGAAGGCTGCAACAGGTGATTTGATGTAGTCGCATGGCATCGCTCTCTGCTTCGTGCCACAAGGTGGAATGCAAACCAGTGTCGTACAGGAAGCTGAACAGATTCCTCGAGTGGCAGCATGGTCAGTTAGTTGTTCTTTACAAGCTCATTTACTTTAGTCCAGGCGGTGACTGGTCAGTTGACTCTTCAGAACAAGCCTCAGATCGCCGTGGACGATGTTGTGCGCATGGAGGTACTTGACAGCTAGGATAATCTGGACCGTTGCCTATACTAAATGTAGGGACACGTGCAAATTGCATCACGTCGATTCGAGCTGGACACTGTAACGAGCACTTGCACGCTGAATTCCATGATGCGTGTCGCCTTTGCAACATCCGCTTCGCTGTAGACAGCTTCAGCCTCAAGGCGCTGCAACAGCTCCTTGCCGGAGCAGTACCTTCCCATGATTGCAGCAGACAACCCAAGCTTGAGTGCCAATGCTGATAAGAAGCTCCATAAGGAGCGCAATGCCATCCTCCCATTCGTAGACATCGCACCTTGCAGCACAGGCTCTGGTGATCCCTAAACACACCCTTCATGGTTCAAGTCGCTGTAAATCCGCAGGTGCGTGGATCGTGACGCATGGCATGGTCGCGAGCGGCGCAAAATCGGGGTTCAGCTGTGCGGCACTTGTGCGATGTTTGGATGGTCCACCGCCAGAAAAACTTCGAATTCCTTCTTCAGGTGTCTGTACTGGCCTGTTCAAACAAGTCGCCTACATCCGACCAAGCTTCTCTGACAGTCAGTGCCTTCGGTCATTCCCTTCTTGTCGTAGGTCTTCAAGGCATACTTGCGTCCATCGATCCTACCTCAGAAGCCAAACCCTTGCTCCGAGCAACAACACGGGCAGGCAGAAGCTGGAAGCGACAGCTGCGAGCCGGTTCGACAGCTAGCTCTGGATCAGCATCATGAAGTTTCAGTGCCATGGCACTTGTTACGAGTCGGGTGCTTCCCGATGACCCAGTTCCAAGGATCTCATCCTGACCGTCAGTCAGTCCGGAAGCTGCTGATTGCGTTACGGGTAGCCTTGTGTTTTGTGGCACGAGTGAACAGGCCTGAAGCTCGTAGTCATCTTCCAGCCTGTGAGAGATGCCATGGTGAAAAGGCTGGGACATTCGAATGGGCACGTAGCCAATTGGAAAACCAAGGAGTGCACACCGAGTCCTGGCCTTCTATCTCTTGGGTGTCCAGCATGAAAGCGGGCAAGAGGCGCCGGCGGCTTCGAAGCGCGTCGCCATGCCTGTTCATTGTGGGGTGCTCTTACTTCGCTGACCTGGCTGCGAAAGACAATGAACCCTGTGTGCAGCACTTTGACTTTGAATGGCAGCCGAGCTCAGTACTTTTTGCAGAGCAGTGGCAGAGACCCACGTTCTGTTGCCCCTGCCAAACCAACTTGTGCACCAGAAATCGTCAGGAATGCCTCGATCAAAGCCAGGAAAGCAAACATGTTGGAGTCTTGGAGTATGAGACGGAAGCGTTGTGAATCCGACAAAGGGTTGAGACCTGTACAGGTCAGTCTGCAAACTTGTCTCCTTTGTCTCACAGGCCATGTGGGTTTGACGAAGCACGTCGGGCTTTGTCGCGCAGTCGACTATACAAGCCACCTGATTATACAGGTGGGCACGTTGACCATAAAGATTGTTTTTTCATCTAACTTTCGAGCTAACGATGTACATCAAGTGTATCTGGGTGACTGGCATCACGCAACTTTCCCCTGTACTTTAGCTTCGCTCTAAACAGCTTTGAAGTTGCTGCGGTCTTGTAAGCTGACTGCGCTCAGCACACAGCCTTCGAATAAGGCTCCTACCGTCAGGGTTCCAGACTTTGATGAGCCTGAGATTGTTATACTTTAGGTAGGGACGTCGGATCTAACAACCTGCGACCGTGCTTCGTGGCGAAAACTGCGGCCAGGGCCGGTGTGTCAGGAAGTCGGGTTGAACAACCCAATCTTCTATCAACTCAAGCAAGCAAGAATCCCCAAAAAACCCTAAAAGAGAAACTTCAAGGATGCAAGCAGTGACTGGTGCTTTCACAGGGAGGTTGCACGAGAACCTGTCTTACGTCGTATGCTTTGGCCGAGCCCAGCCGTTAGCCAAGCAACAGCCGCCACATCTCAGAAGCTGCATCTCATGGCAGTCAGACTGCTGGAGATGCCGCAGGACCAGCTAGCCCGTTCGTACCGCGCAAAAAAACTTACACAGCTCGTAGTGCATCCAGCCAGCATCTTAGCCTTCACTTTCACTCGGGCTGAAGCACACGACTTGTTGTTTTCACATACCTAGACGAGATTCAAATACAAACAGACCCGAAGAAGGTCCATCTCGACAGCTTGGAAGTCCGTGTTAGTGTTGGCATTTCGTCAGCTCCATGGAATGTTGCGACTGGGGTTATTGGTACTATAAGCGCCTACAGAGCAGTATCCAGCAGCTTATGCAAATGGGCTTCCAGGGATTCCGAGGCCGTAATGAGCAAACAACCTCCCTTGAATGTATACTTTGGGGTCCTATGTCGCCTGCAGCTGCTTATTCATTGGAACCTTGACTACTTGATGTCGAAACATGTGTTTTTGCGAGGAAGTTTCAACTTGCTGTGTCAGTGCTTGGCAGATTTCTGTCAAAACTTTAAGATTTCGGTCTGAGCCAAATGCCGGAGATAAAGGGGCAAGTTTAAAAAACAAAAACAGTGCTTAGCCGGCTCTGTGGCCTCACAGGCACGAATGGGACCTTTGATCTAGTTCCTGATTCTGAGGATGGCCAGGGAAGGACAGAGTAGAAGCTAGGACTCGGAGTTCGGGTGTAGGAAGTGTAGGATTTGGGTTTAGGAGGGTGTAGGCCTTGAGTATGGCTCGAGGACTCGAGGAGAGAACATACACACGGCTCGAAGAAAAGGGTTGAAGGTCGAATCTAGGAGGTGGTGGGCTCAGGTTTAGGAGAGTACAAGACCTGCAAGAAGCGTATGTGTCGGTGAAGCGGGGCATGGATGGACCAACAGTGCCTTCTCAAAAACAAAGCCAAGAAGAAGCAAGCCGAACCCCCCCAAATCCAAGTCACCATACCCAAAAGCAGAAGACACACTGAACCCCCAAACCCACACCAGCACAGTCAAGTGCTACTTCCACCTTCACGATTCCAAGTTTCACCTCCACAAATGCGGCGTCTGGAGCACGAGGCCACTAGCAGCTCGATCGGGGAGCTGCTCCAGATTGCTGGGTGCCATCGGGAGGACTAGCTAAGCTGAGTATCTCGAACCACCACGACGTACCTTCTTGTAGGGTCCCCGCAGATCCTAAAATCAACATCAGGGATTACAATAAGAGACTACGAAAACCTTTCACAGTCATAGAAGTATTTAGAGTACCTTAACCTGCCAAGCATCGTGAACTACCATTTTGGAAGGGCCACCACAAATCCAAAGATCCACATCAGAATTTATAACAAGAGCCTGCGAAACCTTTTACTGTTATGGTAGTAGTATTTAAAGTACCGTAGAAACATCTAGAATAGCTGGCGGTTGCCTCACCAATTGCTACGGTGCGATTGCACTTGAAATTTGGGGCTTCTGGTGTTTAGCAGTTCCTAATCCCGGGAACCCTAGACCACCGAGACCCCTTAGCCAGAAAACCCTCGTAAACGCTTGCCATACGTCCTTGAAACCTCATGCACATCTAAACTTCTAAACCTTACAACCCTAAATCCCAAACCCGAAGCCCTAATACCCTAAACGCTTCTGCTTGTCAGCTTGGGACATCCCGTGACGCAGATCCCGCCCGAGGCTCCCACGCAAGCTTAAAGTGAGCCATTGGAGACAAACAACCCAAGCCCTATAAACCCTAATAAAGGGTCCTTTAAAGAGTTCCTTTACAGGGGTCTACAGGGGTTACTATAGGGATACTATAAGGGTACTACGATAAGGGGCATACAGCCCTGAGTTAGACTACCAAAGCCTACTCGTTGTAGGGTGTAGGGTTTAGTGTTATGGGTTTATGATAATTACTTCAAGCAAGTAGGTTATGGATGGCAGTTAAAAGTATAAGCCCTAAATCAACCTCCAAGCCCTTGCAGCTTTCGAACTACACAAGACCTAGAGCCCTAAACACGTAACACCCGTCGGCTCAGAAGCCCTATCTGGCTGCCCTAATATAGAAGCCGATATAACTACCAATACTAGTCCTTAACATTATTTAGGGCTGCGCATTAGAATCATGTCAAAAAGGAGCCCAAAACCCCATTCTAATTATTGCGGCAGGGTCTGGGGACTCGTTGTAGGATCCACGAGTTCGACCAGCAAAACACTGGGCCTTTCAAACCAAACCGCAAACATCAAGTCATATGTAGCACACTTTAGATCCCGACTCCTGCAGTGTTGCTGAATGCAATTTGGCAAGATACCCAAGCACGGAAACATGCAACGCCCTATATCCCGAACCCTTGACCCATTTGTGATTCAACGCTGCGGTGTCAAGATTCAGCCCTTAACCCTGAAAAAAGTGCAACCCAGCGGCAAAAGCCCTAAACCCCAACACCGAAACATTCACATGCTGATTCCTACTTATATCTACTAATATCTACGAATATCAATATCCATATCTCTCTCTGTATATATACACATATCCATTAGTATTTACTAACATTAGGAGGCTTAGATCTTGGGCTGTCGAGTCTCCCAGGCCACGCTAAGAGCATGTAAAAATCATAGCAGGTGAAGCCTTCGGATGGCAAACTCCACAGCACGGCTCGGGCTTATCTGCCAATCATACATGCAGGTAGTTTGTATACATGCACGCATCACATGTGCCTAGAAACACACAAGCTTGTGTGTGTAGGTTTTCGCTTTCACAGGTGCACATACATTTAGACCCTGCGCATGGCGCAGATCTCTGACTCGATGGTTTGGGGCTTGCAGAGACACGGGATGGGAGTGTCCTTTGAAGCCCTTCGGGTTTGGGCTTGTGGTTCGAGGGTTTTACGAGAGCTTCTGAAGATGACTCCATGCTGAGCCCCGGAACATCTCCCACAGAGGGGATTTTGGCGTCATGTGCAGGTGTTTGTTCAATCGGGCTTTTGCTTATGGTTTATCGGCTTCAGGACTTGGGGCCTGTTTGGGGTTGCAGGGAAAAATAAGACCGAGATTAGTGACAACAGCGTTAGTTGTGGCACTAGTGGTGCATGCTGTCTAAGCCAACACACTGTAACACTTATCCATGCACTGGACTGTAGGACCTTTCGATAGTGATGTAATCTAAACCAAAGACTACCATTCGGGGTCTCGTGACCGGAGAAGCTCGCATATCTCAAACCGGCGCGTGTGCCATCCTCTCGCCAAAGGTTCACGCACTGCACATTCTCAAAGACAACATGCAAGTCCGACTCAACCCCCAAAACCTCGACCGTCTAGGTTGCTGTAACTCTGCGAGCCCAATAGCCGATCCAGTGCTTACTGAGTTATGAGAACCATAAGGTTTGTATAGGCTCGACAGAGCAGTCGCTCACGACAGCGGTAACTGAGCTCCTAGCTCCAATATTCATGGGTGCCTTCACGGGATCCTTGATCCTTGCTGCCGATTTCAGAATATCACAACTGCCTGAACATACAGTGAACAATCTTGTAAGTAAGCCAGTATAGTTAGACAGCCTTACGAAACAATGAAAAAGCCTCTATACCTTCGAAACCTGTAGGCCTTCTGACAAACCCGAACCTACCCTTAAAAACACTAAGCCCCAAAACCTACACCCTTGCCGGGTCTTCCCGTGTTTGAACTAGCCAGGCCTCGCATGAACCCTCGAGGATTGACTAGGCATCTGCATCCTAAGCACATCCGGTCACGACCGAACCCAGGCGTTCCTGCAAACTGACGCTTCCTTGAGGGCTCTACGTTATATGTAATAGGGTTTAGTTAGAGTTTATCGTTTAGGGGCTCAGAGTCCACCAGAGTTTAGAAGTTTTTGTAGGGGGTTATACCTTGTTAATTCAATCCCACCGCTCCGAATGATTTCTTGGCAAGAACAACCCTCGATCAGGCATTTTAGGATTGAGGATTTCCGATTCGTTGCTGAAACAGTTCTTAGGAACTAGAAGCATTTGACGTTTTTCAGGATTTGGATTTGCTGTTTTTGTTGAGCCCCTTGGTTGCGTTCAGGGCTTAGGGTTGAGGGTGTTAATCGGGCTTGATTAGGCTGGTCCTGGAGATTCCTTTCGTTGTTGCTCATGTTGTTCCCCGAAATCCGAGCGTTACAAAAACACAGTAACCCCCAACAGGAACTAACCCTAAACCCTGAACCCCACAATGGATACTGCTGGATTTAGCACTCATTAAAGGGTCGAAACCTCAACCCTAGAACCCCCGACGAACTGACGAACCCTAAGACTCCAATATCCCTTAATTGAAGCATATACCTTAAGTTATGGTAGGATCCCTAATATGATTTAAGGAATACCCCTTAATTAAGGGATATGCCTTAAATCATAGTAGGATCCCCCATGTGATTTAGGGAATATCCCTTAATTAAGGGATATACCTTAAATTGTAGTACAATCCCTAAAACGATTTAAGGAGTATATTCCTTAATTAAAGGGTGTACCTTAAATTATAATAGGACCCCTAATATGATTTACGGAATATCCCTTAATAAAGGGGTATTGGAGTCTCTGGGAAATACCTGGGCTCAGTCATACCACTGCGCTCAGCATTCCGGGGCGAACGAGGTGCTTTCCTGAGCAGGACTCATGAATGCGTCAGGGCCCCCGAAGATCCCGCAAATACTCTCTCTCTCTCTCTCTCTCTCTCTCTCTGTCTCTTTAATTCTCTCTACATAATATATATATATATATATACAAAGATATATGCATTAAAGCATACATGCCCCACACTTTAGGCGCTCCAGACCCTGAACCCTTGCAGACCCGAAAGCTTGAAAACACCCAAACCCATCTGTTTTGTCCCGAAAAAGCACCCGCAAAACTCGGCCGCCGACTGTTCGCCCCCTCGCTACGAGGCGGCAGCCTGCAATTCCCGCACTGGAGGCTGTCTCAAAGTCCAGGCAACGGCTTCGGATTTGCTTGGGGTTTAAGGCTTGGGGCTTAGGGTTCAGGGGTTTAGGGCTCAGCATTTAGGGTCAGGGTTTTGGGTTTCTTACCAGGGTCTTCTGAGCCTTAAGAACCTGCTTCAAGTCGCGTAGGGATACTGCGTAAAGTCATGATAACCTAAGCAAAAGGATGGACACACTGCAGGCAAGTAACCAACACCGGAGCTTCATGCGCCTGTGTGAAGTTTGTAGCACCCTGTTGGTCCTTAGCCTTATCAAAACCCTTTCGACACCCTACAACCCCAAACCGCTAAACTCTAGACTCTAGGCCGTCTATCATCCCTGCAAGCCCCAACCCCCGTAAACCCTACACCCCTAAACCCTACTTCCCTTTTTCGCTAAACCCTAAAAACCCTACAGATCCCTTGAAGGGACCCTTATAAGCCTAGTTTGTTTATGGCCTCGGCAGCGGCGGCTTCGGCGGCCGCGGCGGCGGCGATGGCCTCAGCTTCGCAGCTCCTTGCACCCCAAACATTGTGCAAGGGGGGTTTTAGGGTTCAGAGTTTAGCGCTTAGGGTTTGAAAAAGGGTTGAGGGTTTAGGGTCTATAGGGTTTAGGGGTCATGGGGTTTGAGGTTTCAGGGTTTTTGGGGGAATCAAGGGCTTATATGGTTTAAATTAGGCGAACTTAAACTATATTTGGGTTTGAGGTGTGTTCACTCGTGCATGGAGGATTTAGGGTTTAGAGTGTGGGGTTTCAGAGTTCTAGGGTTTAAGTAAACTTAGACATGATTGAGGCTGAGGTGTGCATTCCCTCCAAGGAAGCCGACAAGGAGGATTCACGCCGTTCTCTCTCACTAGTAATGATGATACTGTATTTGGTGCGATGAGTAACTGAGTTTACGATGGGGGTTTGCTGTCGTAGCTTAAATCAAGTTGATTTCAAGTTTACGAAACCCTTCGACCAAACGGTTGCAGAGGGTTTCATGTGTGTTTCACCGAAGCTCACAAGCATAATCCCTAGACCTCAAGCAAAGCAATAATTCCAATTTTGCAGTGTGTGAAGTCTTATAACGAGTACCTACTGTGGCCTTCTTCAGTCTTCGGGAATGTGTTTTGGGCTGTTTGATTTGAGCCCGAACTGGAAGGAGCTTACCACGCTTTCAATAATGGCTGGTGCCTGAGGCCGGAACCATTGCTTCTTGGGACCAGAAGCGTAACTATTGGTATATACTTAGGCCTTGAAGGGGTCTCTATTTCGGTACTTCAAGGCCAATGTATATGCTATATGGGTACATGGAGCCTTAGGGTAGGGTAGGGCCTGTAACACCCCGCGGTAGCTTTTCCGGACCAGAAGATGACATTCTCCGTCGTAGCTCGACCTACTTAAAGGATCATGGGACTTAGTAACTAGGGTTATAAGTAAGGTAACTTTACTTAAAACTACTTATAACCCCAATTAAGGTACATATAACCTCACTTGCTAAATCCCATGATCCTCCAAGTATGTACACCCCGAGTGGTGAGTTGAGGCCGCCGCGGCCGCAACGTGATCCTGGCATCGATTGTTCAGGGGTTAGGGTTTGCTGCGGGCTTATAGGGTCTAACTACCCGCCACCGTGTTTACCGTACCCCTAAATATTGAAAAACGCAGCTGCCGCTGTGGTGGCGTGCTTATTTCAGTGTATTTTGGAAGTACGCAAATGACAAGGCTGCTTTGCGTTTTGTGTGGGAGGCGTTGCTCGAAAAGGTTTACGCGCGTGTGTTGTGACAACGTGTCTTGCTCCACATCCTTGTGCAGCATGTTGTGCCAAGAGCCCAAAATGCTGTAAATACCAGCGTTTTGGGCATGATCGCCAAAGGCAGTGACATGAACATCAACCTGACCATCTTCATCATCATCATCATCATCTTCATAACCATCATCCTCGCCATGCTCAACATCATCGTTTACCTGATCATCTTCATCATCATCCTCATAGTCATCATCCCTACCATCATCCTCATAATCGTCGTCATCATCAACATAAGGCCGGTGTTGCAGTTAACGATGATGTTGAAGATGGCGAGGATGATGGTTATGATGAAGATGGTCAGGTTAATGTTCATGCGATTGCCTTTGGCGGTCATGCCCAAAACACTGGTATTTACAGCATTTTTGGCTTTTTGTACATGCTGCACAAGAATGTGGAGCAAGACACGTTGTTACAAGCATCCTACCACTGCTACTGCTACCGGCGCTACTGTGTTACTGCTTACGGTCAACCATGTCGTTATTAGCCCCCCTCCCCCCCGCCCGTTACTGCTTACGGTCAACCATGTCGTTATTATCCCCGCCCCCCCCCCCCCCCCCCCCCCAGTCCCCAGTAGCCGATTTCACGGGTACGGTAAACACGCCGCTGGCTCTAACTAGGGTTCTGGGTGTGCAGCGCTGCTGAGACGTCTAGAGCTACTCATAGATCGTTTGGATGTTCTCGGCACCTCAGACCATAAGACGTTCTACACCACCAACCCCACAAGCCTTGAGTGTAAACAAAAACTCCGCTCAGCTAACACAGGCAACAAGCCTTAAACTGCCTGAACCACCCTCCCGCACTAAACCTAAGCCCGCAGCATAAACAAACCTGCAACATGTAAAGCTCTCGAGCTGCCTCTGCCGGAACATCCAGGAAGCCGATCGATGAGGCGTCCTCCGGAGTTGCTCTGCCAATGATCTACGTACTGCTAGAAGCTAGTGGTGAACCCTGCGCCCTATAACCCTGAACCCGAAACCTTACTAGTGTGTTATAGATTGCATCGGGTCGAGAGAGTTTGGACATTGGCCCAAAGGCCGCCTGCAGCGAATTCAGACGGCGGCAATCGCAGGGTTTCAGGTTGAAGGGTTTCGACATCCTATACCCCCAAAAAAGCCTAACGCCCTAAACCCGCAAACCTTATCTAATATTTGAGCCCGAAGCCCTACGAGTCTTAGGGCCTTAGGGGCTGAGTACCCTAGCCCAAAAAAGGTAAACCTTTCAACAAAAAAGGATTATCTACACTTTTACACCCCAAGAATTTAGAGTTTAGACATCAAATACTCCGCTACTGAGAAGTTATGGTCCACGATGGAGACGTCCTAAACCCTAAAACTCTAAAGCTCTAAACCGTGCCCTACACCCTAAAACTCTGGAGCCCTAAACCCTCAAACCCTCCCCCCTAAACCCTTATAGATCCCTTAAAGGAACCCTAAACCCTAAGTTATGGTCCACGATGGAGACGTCGTTCATGTTCTCGGCCAGCCCCATGGGGGGCCAAGTGATCGGCGACATTTCGAACCTTTTTCTCCCGAGGCTGTAGCGTTTAGGGTTTAGCGGATTAGGGTGTAGGGTTTAGGGGTTTCGGGTTTAGGGCTTAGGGTTTAGGGGGTTAAGGTTTAGGGTTCTAGGGTTTAGGGGTTTAGGGTTTAGGGGATTAGGGTTTAGGGGTTAAGGGGATTACGGTTTAAGGTTTTAGGGATTAGGGCTTCGGGTTTAGAGGTTTATGCAAGCAGTTACTGCGGACGATTCGGGCGACATGGGTTTAGAGGTTTAGTGTTTAGGGTTTAAGTGTGCAGGGTTTGGGATTTAGGGTTTTTGGTTTTGAAGTTTGCTTGACGAATTCTTTGGGCTCAGTGATCTCGGGGTCTTTCTAGTTGGCTGGGCAGTATAGGTTTCGATCCCGTAGGGCTCAGCGTCCATAAGCGATGATTGAAAAAAGAAACTGGGAGCTTAAAAGGGGAGGTTGTAATATAGGGGCCTTTAATGATTCGAATAGGGTTTTGGGGCCCATTATACTATAACTGTAAAAAGGAGCCCCGAAAACAGCAAAGGTATTTATTAAGGCCACTATAGTAGGAGAAGGCCGCGTGACGGCACGGCGGTCTCAGGGGGGCTTTACCCGGAGACACACCCCTTGATTAGTAACCCTTCCTAAATCATTGACGAATCCTTAATGTGGCTTAGATTCTCCATGCCAACAGCAAGTTGCAAAAATACATCTTTCGCAAAGCAGCTATCATCCTTTGATGCCAGGTGCAATTGCTGGCCAAGGGCCCAGACCCTCTAGCCTACAGTACCCAGAGGCCCCACAGTAGTTCCTTTGTAGGATGACCTTATCAGGATTCTACATATGGACCCCACAAAGGAACTACTCTGGGGCCTTAGCTAAACCTCCCTCCCCAAAACCTAAACCCTTAACCCTAAACCCGAAACCCTATAACCCCTAAACCCTATAACCCCTAAACCCTAAAACGGGCTCCCAGCTGGGTGTTGATCTCCTGGAAAGAGTCGAAGGATTCGCCTGCCGGCTCAAAACGGGCTTGCCCTGCGCTGTAAGCCCTGGTCCCTGAGCCCCAATTTAAGGTTGAGGGGTTGAGGGTTTATTGGTTTAGGGTTTAGGGGTTTAGGGCTTAGGGTTGTTCTACAAAGCCTTGCCTTAACCCCAAATAACCAACCGTTTTAAGGACTTGTACAAGGAACTCATATTAATTACCCTACAAAAGCAAAAAGCTGTAAAGCTTCAAAGGAATCCTCAAAGGTGCCGCCAAGTCAGTTTTTCATCTATGAAGAGACATCTCTAAATATGCGACCACTCAACCCCATAGACTCTGTAACAAGCGCAGAGTACTCAATCGGTTTTGGACCCTACTACATATCTGTAAAAGCCACTAGAAACCTTGGGAGAACCCCCGAATTCAAGGAAGCCTGAACGGATCCCTAGGACTCAGACACTTCTGTAGTGCAGCGACGGAGCCGGACCCCCGAGTCCCGAGTACCGTAACCATCAGCCTTCCAGGGTTCTTGGACTTAGGGTTTAGGGTCTAGGAATTATTCAAAGTAGAACGTCTTACCAGGCTTTGATGAAATTGAAGATTTTTAAACATCGCTTTTTGTTTTGAACGAGGACACTTCAACATACAGGCTTATCTCTTATGATGCTAGCAGACATTATACGTTCTGTGCCAAGAGGGCGAAAATCCCTGTAGCCCGAACTCTCACAACTTCCAAAACCATTACACAATCTGATAGCGAAAACAATATCGAAACTGCAACTAAGAGGGTCATATCCTACTGCTAATCTTTGGGCATCGTATAATCACGGATGCAAGCCACGAAAAATAGGTACCCTCCTCGTCATGCCTACACTGGCTGAGCCTTGACCTCTTAAACGACAAACAGCATAACTACACCCCTGAGCAACATCTCAGGCAAGACAGCGGCCTCAATACTTGGGAAAGGGTTTTGGGGTACAGTCTACCATGCTTATAGAAAGAAGCCCTAAAAAGGTACTAGTATCACCGTAACAAGTCAGCCGGGGCAAGGACTCATCGGCACGATAAGAGGAACACCTTCAGGAAGACCTGGGAGAAAACCGAAGTTCGGTTTAGGGTTCAGGGGAACCCCGCCTGGACGAAACGGAACCCCTCATGGACGAAACGACCCCGAGAGTTAGGGTTCAGGGCCATAGCATCCTGCATTGACAATTTCTGGGTAAGAAATGAACAGTGAATCCTTTTCAGAAGATCGGATTTCGGGTCCCTAGCAGTAGAGTGCGGCTAGCGGGTGTAAAACCCACCGTCCTCGGGGTGATCTAAGGAACATTGAACCCCAATCCTTCTGGGCTGAGGCGATCAGATAGGAGTCTAAGCGAAGCTCCTGTCGAGTTCTGCATGTAGCCAGTCTTGGAAAGGGCTAGGCTAAAAGTGCTTAGGGTTTCGGGCTTCGGGGCTTAGGGATTTAGGGCCGGTTTTGTTGGTATAAGGGCGCAGGGGTTCATCAAGGGATGCACAAGCCTTGCTTCAGAGCGGATCGGACGTTTAAGCTTAAGTGAAGCTCCGCATGTTGTATGGCACTGTGTGCACCCAACTGCAACTCCTTCAATCTTGCCTGATGCAGGTAGGCGGTTGGCCCAGGGTCTATGTCACAACTCTCGAACTTCACGTCCCATCACGGGCTGCACAACGAGGCTACAGTGAACATGAGCTGAAGCTTTTGTTGATGCTGTCCCCCACCTCAAGATAGATGTTCGAACGAGCGCCATTGACATAAGCCAGATAGGCCAAATAATGCTAGGGCGAAAGACACTCGACGCCTCGAACGTCTAAGTTGAGCCTGGCTTTAGTAAACCCCAAAGCCTACCAAGCCCCAAGCCACGTGTATAACAGAAAATGGAGAGGGACAAAACTGAGCATCGAGCCCATGGCGCCCACCACAAGGACGTGATCCGCTGGGATTGCTATGGTGCCATCTTGCGCCTGGCCGCCATGAACTTGTTTCACTGTCCCCCGAGGGAAATAAAAGTTGAAACTTTCAGAATCGACCACCTTATAAGAACCCCAAAAGTGGAAAATTTGAGCTTACAGCCAATGAGCATGAACTTAGGCTCTTCTTGCGGGGGTTTAGGTGGTTGTGGTTTAGGGGCTTAGGGGGTTTACGGCTTTAGGGCTTTGGGAAACCGCATAGGCCAGTCGAGCCGAATGTAATTACAAATCGGCGCATCCTTCCCTCAACTTCTGAATAATAGCAAACTTCTGGCAGTACTGGGGCTCCGAGTATTGGTTCTGCAATAACTTTCGGTTTCCGATTCATAAAGGTCACATCCTATAAGCTCCTGAACCACCGAGCCCTGGCTGAAATCCGCTCCGCAAAACAAGCCGGTACGGCAGGAGGTAGCCTGACGCAACAAACTTCGTCAGTGTTTGGGTTAGTTGGTCTGTTTGGGCTTTGGGGATGAGGCCTCCAGCGATTCAATCAACAATCCACCGAATATTTTGCCCCACCCCAGCACCTACATGATGGTGAATGTGAGGATATCCAGCTAGCACCCTCGAGCCCTCAGCCCCGAAACCCTACAAAAGAACAGGTTCTGACCTCAGAATTATCAGGGGATATTTCTGGTGTTTACGGCTGAGGTGTTCTCAGTAAATAAGAGGATGCGTCCGCGATGTGATTGCTTCGGGAGCAGCTGGGGAGAGCTTGGGGAGTGGGTTGGGAGTTATGTAGTTGGGAGCAGCTGGGGAGTGGGTTGGGAGCACTAAAGAAGATAACTGCTGAAGCCGGCACTTGGGCCTTTCCCGGAGCCGACCCGGATTCTTAAGGAAGCCCGAACCACCCTCCCGAAGACGACCCGACTACTCAGAGAAATCCTAGCCATCCTCCCGAAGACGACCCCGCTACGTGCCCAAAAAGAATTCGGACCTGCATCCGGAAGAAGGCCCAGTTTGCAGAGCGAATTTGGCTTGAGGTGTGTCTTGGAGGGCGTTTGGCTTACAATGGAGGGTGGCGAGTAGGTTGGGAGTGGTGGGTTGGGTGGGGTACGGAGTGGGAGAGGGTTGGAGAGGGTTGGGAGAGGGTTGGGAGAGGGTTGGGAGAGGGTTGGGAGAGGGTTGGGAGAGGGTTGGGAGAGGGTTGGGAGAGGGCTTGGAGAGGGTTGGGAGATGGTTGGGAGAGGGTTGGGAGAGGGTTGGGAGAGGGCTTGGGAGAGGGTTGGGAGAGGGTTGGGAGAGGGTTGGGAGAGGGTTGGGAGAGGGCTTGGAGAGGGTTGGGAGATGGTTGGGAGAGGGTTGGGAGAGGGTTGGGAGAGGGCTTGGGAGAGGGTTGGGAGAGGGTTGGTTGGGAGGGGTTGGGAGTGGGTTGGGAGAGGGTTGGTTGGGAGGGGTTGGGAGTGGGTTGGGAGGGGGTTGGGAGGGGGTTGGGAGTGGGTTGGGAGAGGGTTGGCACCCAACACCATGCTTACGAAGACGACCAAGCAAACATGCATACCCCAACACCCTTTCTTATATAGTGAGAACACCTACTTTGTAGACACCAGAAAAATGCGTGGAAATTACCAGGATGCCCAGTAACCTAGGAACAAAAAGGGCTCCCTTGTTGGTATTGGGTAACTTTATAAGGAACCTAGGACTACAAAAAGGGAATAAGGCTACTACTGGGCATCCTACCCTAAACCCTGAACCCCTAAGCCCTAAACCCCTAAAGCCCTAAACCCTACCCTCTAAACCTAGAGGATGCACCCCACCCCAACGAAACGCTCTTCGCTCCACTGGTCAGGTAGAGCCCTGAGCCCCGTACTTCCCAGAAATCCCCAACTTAGCCCAAACCGTAAATTCCTGGAGCCCCTGAGACCCTAAATCCCAAACCCTTTAAACTCCCCTCCCCATCCACCTCCACCAAAAAAACAAAAGCGATGTATATAAGATACATAGATATAAGGACATATAGAGATATAGATATATAGATATATAGATGATATGGATATAAGACATTGCAGCATAAGGGTAGCTCAGCTGCAGTCGGGCTGCACGCATGGCACCAGAACCGTCCCTGCAGGCATCATCGTCATGTCGCTTGGGAAAAACTCGGGAGCCTTGGCAGTCGTAGGGGTTCCTGGATTTTGGGGTCCAGGGTTTGGGGGGTTCAGGGTGTTTTCGGGCGTTAGAGTTTGGGGGTTCGGGGTTTAGAGATTAATTAGGGTTCTTTGTTGGTGCTTGTAGGCTGTTGCGCTTCTGTGTCTTTGAGGCTTGCAGGGTTTAGTTTAGCGTCTAGGGGCGGCAAAGGAGTAGTTGAGCCTGCTGGTACTTGGAGGATACATACGTACACCTATCCGGGGGCAATACACGACATTACATTACGTTGCGTCACGTTGCGTTACGTTACCTTACAATACATACACGCTGCAACGACATGGGAGTTTCCGAAAATTGGGGACCCTAATGTTTGAAGTACCCTAAACAGCCTAAACAGTAGGATCCTTATTATCAGGACCCCAAAGTAAGGTACCCCGGTACCCCTAATTTTCGGAAACTCCCACACTCTTCGATCATCCCAGGGCGACAGCTTCCGCCCGCATGGGGAACTTGTTGGCCTCCTCTTCGGCCTCCTTTGAAGAAGCGGGGGGAGGTTTCTTGGGGACTTTAGGGTTTAGGGCTTTAGGGGTTTGAGCTTTTTTTTGTGGGGTTTAAGGGTGTAGGGGGCTTTTCAGGGCTTAAAGGGTTTAGGAAGTTTAGATTTGGAGGCGTATAAACATAGGGCCCCTGAGTGAGCATCTTGACAAAGTGCTAGGCGGCATTGGGCTGTCAGCTTGGTGCGTAAGGGCCAGCTTCTGGCCGTTTGGGCGCTTCTCAAGCTTCAATGTTTCAGGGAGGTTTTTGGGTTTGGGTGCCAGTTGCCGAATCCCTAAACTCCAAGCCCCACCACCCTCCCGCCAAGAAAGACAAGCAAGTCACGGGCTCCTCCTTGCGGTTACCCAATCTTGACCAGGGCGCAGGCGTTGCCTCCAGCAATGAGTGCGTACTATTTAATTTCAAGCCCGAAAATCCCACAACCGCCGTATACGGGTTGAATTCGGGGTTTTACAGGGTTTGCGAAGAAAGTCTGAGTCTTGAAGGGTTCTTTATGGGTGACCGGCAGACAACCTGTTTTTGGGGCGGGGCTCGGTAGTTGAGACGGACCCGATGACACAGGGTGAAGATTCACGGGCGGCCGTAAGGTAATTAGTCTGATGCGATTGGGCCGTTAACGGGAAGTCACAACTTCTTTCCCATGCCTGCTTCCTTCAGCAGAAGCAGGAGTGTGGAACGTCCAGGTGTCCAGCAATCCTGGACTAACCAATTGAAGAAGTTCTGGAAGCACTGCTGAAAAGACACTAATATAGGGCCCTAACGATTAGAGTAGGGTTTTGGGGCCCATTATGCTATAGTTATAATAATAGCAAGGAACACCCAAAGTAGTATAGCTAATTATCAAGGCCCCTATAGTAAACTCCTGTGCATCAGCTGCGACACCAGCATTTAAGACCCAATGAACTGCAAAAGCAGAGGAAGCGAATATGCTTCAGCACACGTTGCCAAGACCCTAAACCGCCCGAAACCCCAAACCTCAGGCAGTTCCCAAATCCCAACCTTCAAACCCTAAGAGCTAGAGATCCAAAGCTGTAGGATTGCGACCCCCCGCCCTAAACTCCGCCACCCTAAACCTTCGCCCGCTACAAGAGCAACCGGGGCGCCTTTCGCCGTGCTGGCTCTGGGGGCTTCTGCGGCTCACCTGTTCGGGCTTAGGGTTTAACATAAACTACCCAAGCCCGCTTTTTTTGTAGGGTCCCTTTCAGCCCTCGATTCGGGTGTATAATAACAACAGCCTACAAACATGTAGGCTGTGGTAGTTTAAGGTAATTAGGCTTCAGGGTTGCAGGAGCCATTCACCAAGATCCCGAACAAGAGGGTCCTTTCCAGGAAACAGATTCAAGCCAGGCGTTGCTTCATGTTGGTCGGACCTGCAGGCTCAAGACGTTGACTGAAGTGAAGTTTCCACAGTAGGATTTGTGTAAGATGCTTTCTTCTCGATTTTTTGTAGTAGCATAGCACAAGTTCCTAAACGACAGTTTCTGAGCAAGAAGCCAGAAATCCCTCCTGAGACCTATTTTGTGGTGTCCTGCTACCGGATTGAGAAGGTTTGGGGTCTAGGGGTTTTATGCTTGGAGGATCATGGGACTTAGTAAGTATGGTTGCAAGTACCTCAATTGGGGTTCTAAGCAATTATAAGTATAGTTACCTTAATTATAACCTTAGTTACTAAGTTGCATGATCCTCTAAGTGCGGTTCAGGGGGTTTCGGGCTTGGGGGCTGAAAGGGTTTGCGATTCGGGAATGCCGGAGCAGTGGCCCGAGCCCTCAACCCAAAACAAAAAAAACAAAGCAATCCAGAGCCGGAACAAGAACTCCATAAAGCCCTAAACTTTAAACCATAAGGCAGTTGCTGCTTCCAGGTATTTGCGGAATGGTTCCAGTCACATGCTTGTAAGAGTTTCACAACAGCGCTCCTGAAGCAGGCCTGAACCCCAAGCAATAGCCCCAAACACTGCTAGTAGGTGATGGGAGTTCTAGAAACTCGAAAAATTGTGGGGCATATTTTTGCCCATGAAGCAGCAGGTTATAGTTTGGATCCACACAGGTAAGGCCACGTAAGCCCCAAACCCTGTATACCCTACGCCCCAAGCCCCGGAACCTAGACCCTACGCCCCCAAACCCCGCAACCCTTCTTTGTGCCTGCCATGGCTGAAGGAACTTCCACCGCCGCTTGCGCCGGGGGCGCTTGGCTGGAGGAAGCGGCCTGTCCCTGCAGTATTTCCGTTTTTTTCTCTAACACCCTAAGGCTCCATGTGCCCATATAGTATATACTTAGGCCTTAAAGGGGTACCTAGATGCGCACTTAAAGGCCTAAGTATATGCTATATGGGTACATGGAGCCTTTGTGACACCCGGCTCGAAACTTCGTACAGGATGTGAGGTTTATACGACTTGTCAGATTCACCAAAAACACAGGCTTTCGGATTCTGGGTTCCTGTTCCATAAGTTAAGGGAGTCTTATATACAGGTTTCACGATGATGTAGTGTTTAGGGGTTTCGGGTGTGGACGTATTGCCTTTAAGGTTCGATGCTTTAGGAGATCCAGCCGATCCTCCGTGCTGAACAGGCCCTAGAACAAAAGTCAAGAACGAAGATCCTGTGTAATGGGTTTAGGGTTTGGGTTTAGGGATTAGGGTTTGGGATTTAGTGTTTAGGGTTGAGGCTAATGACACAATAGACAATAAGGTAACCTTATTCTTTCAACGTAAGCATAGAACATGGAATAACATAATAGTGTATACCGTAAAACACGGAAGCCTGAATGATTGGACTGCGATTCTGAAGTATACTATAATAGGTTACGGCTTAAGGGTCTAGGCTTGTAGCATGATGAAAATTACTGGAGAACCCCAGGACAGCAGTACAACCGACTCTTCCAGCTCCAACAGTTCACATCTTTACCAATCTACGTACTTGTGAGGCTCCGAAAACAGGGGTGGGTCCTTATAAGAGGGATCCTACTTTTCAGGGTGCTACATGATTGTCCCCTGTTTTCGGAAACCCCCACCTCTGTAGCCGGCACAAGGACGATGGACCACACGAGGCAACACGCCAACCCCAAAGCCCTAAACCCCGAAACAAACCAAATCAAACCGCCAAACACAAACGACTCCCAATACCTGAAGCCTCAATGCAGCTACTATCACCACCAAACACAAACGACTCCCAATACCTGAAGCCTCAATGCAGCTACTATCACCACCAAACACAAACGACTCCCAATACCTCAAGCCTCAATGCAGCTACTTGCAGAGCGAAATATCGTGCTGCCGCGAGACTGATGGGCCATAAGCTACACGGAGTTTTCTGGGCGGCTCCTCTTGGGCACGGATGTGGGGATCTGGGCTCTCTTTTTTCCCGTCGTAAATATCTGTATATATATATATATGTATGTGTTCATATTTTTTTGTCGGCTCCAAGTGGCTTCTCTAGAAGCTTTGCACCGGTTTGTTTAGTGTTCCTTCAGGATTTGATGTGCCGCAAGCTTGTAGCATGTGGCCGAAGGGTTCAGAGATTGGAGATTTGTGTGGGTAGGAAGAGGATTGGGAAGCTTTGTTTACGGCTTGGGTACTATGCTTTGCGGGCTTCCGGTGTGCATAGAGATGCGCGAAAACAATGACTTCGAGCGCTTGAATCCCATGCAAGCATCATCTGTTCGAAACGATGATTGTGCAAGTTTGATAGACACGTTTCGGTGACCAAGGCGAGTGAACCCATATGCTCTAAGCAGTCCTGACACTCGTGCATCGGAGAAGACAGTCATTGACTCAGTCATGTAGGATTCCGCAGATGGAGCATGGGACGCCGAGATTCAGTGATTAACCTCGCATGTTCTTGTCTGGCCGTATTGCCTTTCGTGTCTGGCGTATTGCCGTCAATGCACGTGTCGTAGAGTCTCGAGTGAACCTTCGGAACTACAGTCCTGCATTTCGTCTAGCTGGGAACGGGTAAAGTTTAATTACACATTAAGGCTATGTTGAATGAAGTAGATGCTGAGAGATTCTGGTTCGGGCTAAATTTCTGTTCCACCAACCCTAAACCCTAAGCCCCCGAAACCTAGGATACGTCATAAGCAGCATGGTTGCCAGACGAAGAATCGGACGAGTCTCGCCAGAATTCCGACAGATGCAGATGTAGGAAAGATGCAGCTCATACAATTTCATACAGTGCGCACCCTATAAGCCCTGCGCCAGAAACCCGGAGTTCGTGTGCCTGCAGCTCTTGAAACCACCGCAGGAGTTGCTCGCGAATAGGAACGCCGCGCCTCGTTGTTTGACGCTTCCGGCTTCGGTGGGGGCACTTGCCCATAAGCATCACCGAAAGGTTGTGGTCGCCGTGAAACTCCCGCAGTGGTGTAACTGCTTCCAACCCATAAACATCTCCCCAAAAACCAAGCGGCAAATGCAGCAGAACGTCCAAAACCAGCGCAAGAACAAACGTCCAACTTCTCACACCCTGAAACTCCAGAGGCCCCAGGCTCTGAATTGTACGTTCAAGCCTCAACGGAACCCTTGGTAGCATTAGATCATTATAGGGCGCACCAAGGTTGAGGAATCATCACGTTCGGAGAAGACTGCATGCTCATGTGCCAGCATTACACAAGGGCTCATTCAGGACGCAGACTGGGTTCCACAACAACCCAACAATAATGATATGGGTACAAGTTACCATAATCATGGAAAGACGCGAGGGTGGTAGGGGCAAGGCTAGCACAGCAAGGCTTATTGCCGTAGGGTCGTGCAGGATACGAGGCTCGGTTCACGGAAATATCAAAATCTGGATTCTTCCGGCTGGACGTTGAGCCCTCTAAGGCTGCAAGTGTATGGCATTACTTAGATGAAGCCCTCAGATAATGCTGGAACCGAGGAAGCTTCTGCAGAGTACTATACCAGGGAACCCTCGCTCTATAACATTGTCAATAGTGACGGTTTTTGGGCGTTAAATTCGGGAGCCCTATTTCGAATCATGTGGAAACCCTGCGGAAACTTTGCAAAGAATGTGTACGATTGCCTGCGTGAGTGTGAAAATAACATAGGTGCGTCATTAAACATAGTCATACCCTGCTATAGCCCAAAGTAGCCGAACAGCGAAACCCGATGTCATATGTCCTACATAAGGCTGCGGCCCCCGAATGAAAGGTTCCGCCTTGCAATTTTCAACCAACAACCATCGGGCCTTAGAAGCTGTCTCCGCAAACTGGCCCGCTGGAGCATCGCCTTGGATCCACCAGCACCAACGTCAGGTTTGTTACTTGGCGGGTCCTTCAGCCGCACAACATCCTGGCCCTAACATCGTAAGATTGGCAACTGCTTAAAACGACGAACAAACAGGCACCTCTCAAGGTGGAAATCCGAGCATATTCATCGAACCTGTCGTGTCCTTCGAGCATGTGAACAAACACAGCAGGTGGCTGCACCGTGCCATCGTCATGATGCGGACAGTTTCAAGCGAATGCTAGCTCAGGATTGTGCTCGTTCCGTAGATCCAGTTTAAATGGTTCTGAGGAACATCCGACGAACCACATGCCCGAAAATCCTGACAACGCGACCGACCGACGACCAATTCCAAACATATGAACACCCGGGCCCGAAACTCATCTTTAAACAAGCGGCGACCAGGTCCTGTGTGGACAGTGTTTCCAAGTTCTTGGGAACCTGGCAAGATTACGAAAACATGCAAAGAGCTTGCCCGTCAACCAGGTGGAAGGCCAAGTTCACGTGTGGATAATTACTGATTACCCGTGTGCATCCGAAACAGCAAGTGTCTTGCAAGCCCTTCGCACGACTGACAATATGGGCTTGTTGAGCACATTTCCGTAGATGAAAAATCACGCACGGTCGGGCTCCGCAAATAAGGTAACGACAATACATAAGCGGAAAGAGAGGAGTGCTTGATGCATTGACCACAATTGCTGAAACTAGTGCATACATGCTTTTGCATGATGACATTTTCACATCGGTGGCTGCAAGCGTTGCAGCCCGGGGCTTGCAATGCAGTGTCATGATCATGGTACACTAGCCGCGCATCAAGTCGACAAGGACCTGTCCTGGAACACCGCGTGCCTGTCCGGATCTGAGACCGGAGAATATCAAGCGCTGCCAATCGATCTCTGAAATCTCTATAATTCACACAGTTCCATTATAGTTTTGAATATGCAAGAATGTTGATACTCGTGTTCGGTTGCAGCAACGAACAGTGCAACAATCCTGGCGTTAGGGCAAACTCGATGTGTGTCCTTTTTTTTCAGCAGCTCGTCGGTTGCCGAAAACACACTTGAGCCAGTGCTGGTACCTAGGGTTTAGGGTTACTCGTATTCGCACAAGCACCACAATCACAACCGAATTTCCTGTCGCATGAATCGATCATGGGACTAGCAACACAAAGCTCGCGGCCGTATGTAAGTGGTGTGTGCATGCCCATCGCCAAGCTGCGTGACCGAGACTCGTTCCGACAATGTTTCCCTGGTCACAGTCTCATGGTACTGTAATAGCAAGCATATTCATCATAACTACCTGTATCCCCAAACCCTACAAAATAGTAGGTCATAACCCCTTATACTTAGGGGGCCTAACTCCCAAAACAGCAGGCTTTTGGATCCCCAGGTACTGGTATGGCTATGTATCAGAATACTCTATCGATGAGAAGTGTTCTGTGCCAGGCAAGCGCGAGCTCAGACTCAGGAAACAGGATAGGCATCTCGGCTTGTAACGGTAACAGGAACACTACCTAATTATAGTATGAAGAATAGCAATAGTGACAACAGTCGTAGCAGCAACAACAACAACAAAAACAACAATGACAACCACAGCAGTATAGCACTAATGAAACGAATACTGGTGAAAATAACAATGAGACTGTTGCCTGGTAGCAAGAATGTTTAATACCAGCAATCAGTCCACAGGCCGATGAGGCCGTAGAGACATCGCTCGGTTTCGCCCCAAACCCCGAGTGTGCACGCACATAAACTTAGTTGCTGAGTTCATTCATAAGCCGCCAGGAAATGTACACTTTCAGCTTTACAGTGGGTACGTAGTATTATCCCACAGACTGTAAAGTGTATCCACTCGGCACTACGTAGAAAGTGCAACATCAACTGGGGCAATGTAGCTCCTTGCCTGTTAACGGAACTCGTTCGGAATGCCTTCCCCGACAGTGTGCACACGCCAAGCTGCGACTTGACAAAAGATGCCACGACTCAAAGCGACCGGTAGTATCAGGGTTCTATCTGTAGAAGCTGTTGGCTTGGAGAACCTGCAACATCAACAAGAACAGCGGCAAGAGCAACTGCGGCTGCGAACCAAAGTCAAGCATAAACCCCATTCTGCTGCTGCTTCAACCTCGCAAGAACTATGGCTAGTAAAAGCCATGTGGCAAAAGTTACTACTTTGGTGTCTTTTGCTTGAAGCACCCTGACAATCACAGAACCTCAACCACTCGCATTGTAACAAGGACTAACAAAATGCAGAGACATTAACATTCAAGTCTTCAGCCGGGTTTGGGGGTATATTGTGTACTCACTGGAAGGAACTCTGAGTAGTAGTATTAGCTCTGACTCAGGCCTCAATTTGGGCTTACAGTCCCTCTCAAGCGGCACCCCAAAAGCGAACAGGACCGCCGCCATTACGACGTATAAAGCCACCAGGACCTGCACCCTCCCCGTTTCGGTTTCAAGGTTTCTATACTGAACTTAGAACCCTAGCAAAAATTACAATTTTAGCTGTTCTTTAGAGATGAAAATAACCAAAGATTAAAAAATATTTCTAAGCACCTCTAAGGTTTCAGTTCCGTACTTGTAATTACGGCGTACTCCTTAAGTGATAGAAGAAGACTTACGGTTAAAGGCTTAGGGGCATATTCCGCATTTCAGGGATCTTGAAATTCTGGGTCTATATAGCTATACAATCGACTTCCGACCTCTTCTACATCGCATCGAGGGAAGATTATGAGCAGAGGCAGGGTTTTGAATTTCGGGCTCAAGCATTGCTGCTCCGAGGATAAGCCCAAATGGCAAAGGGTCTGTCAGTCAAATTTGGGGCTCGGGGTTCAGACGGAAGGGGTAAGGGTAGGGTGTATAGGGAACCCCAGAAAGTTGGAACATGGAGTCAGGATGATTCATGCTGGGATTCCCTAAACTTTACTTTAAGGGCATGAGGCTTATGACGTTCGAACTTTCTGGCTTCCACTGTAAGGTGAATACACGGTGAGGATCTTTATCTGGGAGTTTCCGAAACTTAGGGGTACCTTATTTTGGGGTCCTTATCATAAGGATCTTACTATTTAGGGTACTATATTGGGGTCCCCCATTTGCGGAAACTCCCATCTGCCGAAGATCCGAGATAAGCAGGATTCATTCGGTCACCTGCAAACAGGAGCCGGTTTGTGTGGGACCTTAGACTGCGAAATGTAGTGCAGCCTAACCCACTGTTGAATGTCTAAACATTGAAAGCCCATGCTCTGAACAATAAGCCCCTTTCCTAGCTTAGATGCAGAAACACTGAGCCCCAACCCCACAAATCTCTACTATCAAAAGCCAAAGCTACGTTCCCGACATTGCAACACCCTAAACCCTGAAACTAAAACGAGATCACCCCGGGAGCACTGTCAGGGCCTGGAAATTCTCCTCCTCCTCTTTGGGAGCTTCCTTCGGAAGCTCCTCAGAATGCTTCGGGCTGGGCTGAGGGGTTTCAAGGGTTGGGGCTTAGGGAGTTTAAGGGTTCAAAGGGCGCTAGGGCATTCCAGGAAATAAGATTGAACGCTTTAGGGCTTTGAGGGCTCGAGTTTAGAGTTTGGGCAAGGGCTTAAGCTTTAGGGTTTAGGGTTTCAGGGTTTAGGTCTGAGTTCGGCAGTAATCAATTTAATGAGGGTTTCGGGTTCCGGGGTCCTCACTGGAACTGGTCACCCTGCACTTGTTGGGTCTTTGTCGGGGCCCCCTGTCCCTTTGAATAGGTTCAGAGTTCAAAGTCTCTGATCAACCCAACGCCCAAAGAACCATGTTTCAAAACTCATATTCGGAAACTCAGGATAAAAAAGAACGCTAGAAAGACAGGGTTTTGTAGGGTTCAGCAGAGCTCATTTAGATTATTGGTCTAGAGAAGCTTCCAGTGCTTAAACCGACAGACTCCTAAACCCTTAATGGAGCAATATGCCTCTAAACCTTCCTCCTCAACCCGAAATATTCCTCGAAATATCTTAAAGATTTGGGGTTCAGGGCCTCTGATTAGGACTTTTTTCGTTGGAAGCCGGGCTTTGCATTGCCCTCGCCCGGCGCTCGCAAAAAACAAAAAACACAAATGAACCCCTAAAGCCTAAATCACTAACTCCGCTCAAACTCGAAACCTAAATCCTAAATCCTGAACCTCAAACTCGCCAAAGCGACCCCCACACCCCAAATCCCCAAACTTCAGAAGCCGCCGAAATGCCGCCGAAACCCCAAACCTTAATCTAGATAATACGAACCTTCAAGCAAACACCTTCACTTCTAGAACTCGTACAAAATATAAAACCCTCAGAACAACCCCCGCCCCCTTCCCCTTCCCCTTGTCGTGGTGCTCTTCGGGAAGCTGGAGTCCCTACAACACCCCCTACCAAGGACTACTCGACATTTTGCAAATGCCCTTTCAATCTTACAATACCCTTGCGCAACACCCTAACACAACCGTTCTGAAACAATCACAACTGTAAAGCCCTTGCAACACCCGTACCCATAGGATCTCTACACTGTACAACCCACAACCCAAACCCGAACTCTGAAGGCCGTAAAGCCCGTGTTTTCTCGCTCCTAAACCGGGAACCCGAGACCCCACTCATTATAGCCCAGCAATATGATAGTGTCCCTAAGCTCTAATATCCCTATGATTTGTAGCCGAACAAACCCTCTGCAAAGGCGCTAAAAGCCTAAAGCCCCAACAGCCCCTAAACCCCGTAGGCGATGTCAAGGCCCTTTAATCAGAGGAACCCTTAACGCCCCTGCAAGGGTCTCACACCCCGCAAAGGCCTTAACAGCAACCCCGTAATACACCTTCTAGGAAACATGAGAGGAACAAAAGGAACCCTATATAAAACCCCTTGAAAGGGCAACAACCCCTTAAAGGAGCCCTTTAAAGGGCCCGTGGAAGCTTTGAGGAACCCTGAATTCCCAAAGGGTCCATATGCACTACCACTATGGAACCAGTTCCCGAAAGACCAGCCCTATTCAGGTATTGGGGGCCTAACTCCACAATGGTACTGCAGATGCACCCTCTGGGATTGAACCTTAAACCCTAAACCCGAAGCCCGAAACTCTAAAGCTCTAAACCCTGAACCCTAAACTCTAAACCTTAAAGGATCCCTTGAAGGAGCCCTAAACTCTAAACCTTAAAAGATCCCTTAAAGGAACCCTAAACTCTAAACCTTAAAGAATCCCTTAAAGCAGCCCATAAACGGCCCTTGAAAGCGCCTGCTGCTCCGAGGGCTGCTCCCGAGGAGGAGGAGGCAGGTTCGGCGGAGGAGCCTCAGAGCTGCTTTTGCTTTTTTTGAGTTGGCATGTTCCTGTTTTGTACCGTGTTGTTTGTTTCTCTGTTATAGTTCTATATATATATACTTATAATTATATATATATATATACATACAAATATACATATATGTATCCTGGAATTGATACGTCATTTGTTCTTGTGTTGTTTGTTCGCTGGTTTGTGTATTTGTCTTTTGTTGTTCTCGGTGCAAGTGCTCATACGGGTTGTCCGCTGCCGACACGAACCTGAGAAACGTCCAAAGCACCGAAGACGGCAGCTGTCCTGTATTTAAAAGATCGTGGTGCTTAGTAGCCAGGGTTATAAACAGGGCAACTATACTTATACTTATAAATTTACTTGTATTATAAGCCCAATTAAGGTGCGTATTAAGCCCCACGATCCTCCAGGCGCACACAACTGCGAAGCCGGACGCGCAACGAAGGTACTTCAAGGAAAGAACCGCACCGGTCGTGACCGGCTCAGCGTCACCACGGGACCGAACAACAAATCATCAGGAACAGAAGCTACCATGGAAGTGACAAAGCCATGGCAGGCAAGCGATCCTCGACCAAGTCGAGAAGTGGAAAGGTCACAAACTAGACCACAGAAGTATGTAGAATAATAGCCTTTTATACTTTTTGGGCCATTATTTTACCTACTTTTGGGGGTCTGGGAAATGCTTCGCGCGGAGTTTCGAGTTTAAGGGTCCAGAAGGACCCTTTTTTGGTGGCCTTAAGATTCACATGTTGAGGTTGAGGATCTCGGGTTTAAGGACCTGCTATTTCCAGCGCCCGTCGTTGAAGCCTGCAAATTGTACGTCAGGACGGGCACTTGACGGATCTGCGGCTCTATGCCGAGGCCCAGTACCCGTACAACCAGAGCGTCGTAAGAACCTCGAACCTGAGGCTAGACTAGAAAACATAGCAACCGTGCTACATCAAGAAGCAAGAGTTCGCAAACTAGGTCAACCTCTCGAAGTTTCAGCAGAGGAGCAACTTTTTTCTCCTTCACCTTGGTGACGACATGCCACCTGGGGCACATGGCTCTCCTCTTTTAGCTGCACTAGGACCAAATGAGTCTGAGAGGCTACATACTTATTTGCCAACTTCTATTTCCTTTTCTCCTTGACACTCCAGGTAATACCTGGTTTGGGATTCCATACCTCGGATTGAGGCGGGTGTTGCTGAGTGGCTTCTTGGTCAACCTGGGCAAGGACGCCTTGAAGCTACTACAGGGTTTGAGGGCTTAGGGATTTAGATGGTTCCGGGGTTGAGGGTTCTTAGGTTAAAGGCCTGTGTGGCCGGGGAACTCTGCAGTAAGGGTTTTAGGGGTCTTTTCAAGCTAAGCTAACCTTGCCCATGGGTTCCCGTATGCGATGCAACTTGCCTTCGACGGGACCCCACACAGCCCTAAACCATAAAAGCTACCCCAACCATAAAACCACCAACCACAAATCCTGGCTCCTTTTTCCTCTGGGGTCATCGTTATACACGGAAACGGTGGGCGAGGGCTAACTCACGGCCCCGGAGCCGAGTGTCTGCTCCCACAATGTATTCCGGCATACGGAGTATATATACTCGTTTCAGGGTTAGGATTTAGGGGCTACTCGCCTAACACTAAACCCTAAAAGCCCAAACCTAAATCGTGACACCATCCAGCACTCGCATTGCGAATGCTGCCGAAAGCCCCCGTCAGCCGGGGCCAAAGCTCGTTCTCATTGGCGTCGTCCTGCCAAGGTTTCGGGTTTAGGGTCCCCACATCTTCCAAAATGGCTGCATTAAGGGGTATCCCCTAAATCATATTAGGGACCCGACTACAACTTAAGGTATAAACCCTAGATTCGGGGATATTGGAAGGTGTGGGTGTATTTCGGGTTTGCAGCTACGGGTGTACGAAGCGCGCAGCCTCTGTCCTTTGTAATGCACTACCTCTACGGCTAGTCTATCCAGAGGTTGCGCCGCGAACCCTCCCCCGTTACCTTCAACTCCAAACCCCTACATGACCCGCCTCGCCGCTATAACGGCAGGCTTTGCGTTTAGGGTTTGGAGGAAATGATCTGAGAATCGACGAGTGAAAGTGTGTGCAGCTGCTAAGAAGATGTGTGGTTACAGTAGAAGCCAGAAAGTTGGAACATCACTATCCTCATGGCCTTAAAGGGTAAAGTGTAGGGGATCCCAGCGCTAATCATCCTAAATCCATGCTCCAACTTTCGGGGGTTCACTATAACCATGCTCGATGTCCAGGCGGATACTGATGTACTGCTTTTCTAAGCCCTGCCGGTAGAAGGAAATTCCAGCACAACATTCTGCAATGCTCTGCATGGATCAGATCCCAAACCCTACCTTATTGTAGTAGCACTTTTTCAGGGCTCTTTATTTCGATTCCCATGTTCACCATATAAACCCTATCCCGTAATAACTTACCTTTCAAGGCTCCTTATTAGGATTCCCTTGTTATTTAGTAAATTCTATAAACCCTGGCCCGTCGAGGCCTCCGCAGCTGCTTCCTGAGAGTCTTTGCCCTCAGCTGACCCCTGACATGCGGGTATGATGAAAGAAAGAGTATCATAGGCTTATAGGGGAAAAAAGGGGTTAGGGTACATTATATAATACAATCTTGAGGAATAGTAATCCCAGTAATACTGAGAGTTCAAGCTCGTTAGAGCAGTGCAGTAGCCTAACATTGAGGCCTTCGCCTGCCTCTGGAGGCACCCACTAAGAGCCTTCGCCTTACTGGAACGTCGATGAACATCCCCTTAAGGATCCAAGCACCTAATTATAATCATATACTCTCCGAAATACTAACCTACATAGCTACTATCCTAAAACCGAGTACCTAATTATTGGGTCCTTTGGACCCTTAGTGATCACGCACACCTCGCCGTGCGCCTTCATTGCCGTAAGCTTCCCTTCTTGCATTGTAGGGATCAAGCTTACGTGCACATGGCAGCTCCGTTCAGACTGTCGGCTTGAGATGCTGGAAACACTATGCACTAAGCCCGAGATCCCAAACAATTCCTGAAACCCAGACCCTAAATCTCCAATTCCACCAACCCTAAACTGCACAGCCCCAAACCCTAAACCCTAAACCCCTAAAACCGCCTAAACCCCGAAACCCCTAAACCCTCAACCCCCTTAAGCCTAAACCCTAAACCCTTAATGCTATCCTGCACCCGAGAACCCTGTAGACCCAGGGGCTCGAACCTTCCAAAGCCGAGAGCCCCAAACCCGAGGCCCTGAAACCCCAAACCGCAAAGGCCCTAAACCTCTAAAGGCCTATAAACCCTATAAAACTATAAAACTATATATATATATATATATATATATATATACATATATATATGTGGCAAGGACCTTTAGGGTTCATTTGGGGATACTACTTGCTGAATAGGCCATGACACACAAACACACGGAACTTCTTTGGGTCTCATCATCACCATCATCAGCATCATCACCATCATCATCTTCATCGTCGTGATCATTCTCATCTTCTTATTCAAGGACAATATAATCGACACAATTGGTATCATCATTGAGCCTTTTTGCAGCCTGTCGCTGCCTGTTCGTTTGTGTCCCTTCACTGACACAAAAGGAGTACATCTCAAGACAAACTCATGTCTTGATCTCGAACCAACCCTAAGTGAATATGTTTCTTCCTTAACACCAGCAAACTTGAGATGCGCTCCCGCTTCGGAAAAGTGCTAGCTGGCGTGGCTTGTGGGGGGCAAGAAGGTCAGGCTTCACACGAGCTTTGTCAAAGACTAGACTGGCTTTGCTTGAAGGTTTAGGGCCGCAGGAAACTTACTTCACGGAAGTCACAGGAGAGCATCCGGTGTTTGGTCTATCACTCTGCACGAGATCACGCTTCAATACCAAAGAAATTTTTAGTCAGTGTTTTAGGAAAGACTGAAGCCCTAGCAATTGGACATCCCTGGTTACATTGCATTATCTAGACACCAGATACTCCAACGACCTCGGAGGTCGGGAGAGTCTGACTTGGCAGACTCTTCGTCAAAATGAGCGGTACGGAAAACTGCTCCGCGGAAGTCGCACAGATTCTGGCTCGTAATCTGGCATGCCGTGTATTTGCGGACGTTACTTTGGCTAGGCGCCAGATGCTGTAGCAACATCGTTTGGAGGAGAACCCTTACTACACGGCAGGGTCTGACTTCAGTCCCTTTGTCTAAGCCTACAGTTATGAAATTCTTTCTAGCTACAGCAGCAGATGTCAAGAATGCATCCACAGGGCCCCAGCATGCACGCACAAGTATGGACCCACAACGATGTTGCCCGATAAGTGCATTTTTCGGCAACACACCTACTTGGGTGCATCTTGTCAATGCATGCTGGGTGCACTTATCTGGTAATTCTGAGACCCCCTACTGTAGCTTAAAGAATTTCATAAGCCTACGGTAACCCGGCAAGATCAGAAGCATCCGCAGCTGGCATCTGCACAGGGATGGTGCGTCTGCAACGTGAATGCAACCGCAACTTGCACTTGCAGCCACTCTGCCGAGTAGGATCGGCGTTGTCATGCTTTGTCACTCTCACGTAACCAAACCACCCTACCACCCTCAGGCCTCTACCACTTGGTCTGCCCCGTGAGGGGATTCCACCAATAGAAGGCCCCTGTAGATCCTTTGCTCATTGACAGCAATGTGTTCATCATGACTGCCTTCTTCGTGTGTGAGTGTGTCTGTGCGTGTGTGTGTGTCTGTGGGCGTGTGCGTATACTCTCTTCCGTGACAGTAAGGACAACCCCTCGCGTACAAACGAAGTCTCTCCGATTCAACCTCCTGCGAGACAATAATTTCAGGTGAGCAGCGAGATCGCACCTGACGCCAGGCCTTGCGAATGGCATCAAGAGCTTCTGCCTTGCGATGTGGCTCAGCCGTTCAGCAAGTGAAAAATGCTCTGGTTCTTGATTTGCGGTACCATTGTAAGCACCCATACACACACGTACTCTGCGGAAGAAAGCTTATACGAATCAGTGCTAACCCAGTTCAAGTCCATTTCCAATTCTTCGCGCTCACGAACAGCATGCATCTGATGCATGACTCGTTTCGCTGCTCACGCTCACGGCGCTCACGCTCTTCTTTGATCTTTTGCGCCTTGTCACAAATATGGAAGATTGGCTTCGAACTTGTTTGGGACTGTTGAATACTGTATAGCTCTACCGACTATTGCAGCTCCGCAAAAACTTCATTCTGCGCTCCGGATGTTGTCAACAGGCTGCCTGGCGCTTCTTCTTCGCCTCCTCTTTTAAGTAGGTCTGCCACGTGCCCTGCGGGTTTAAGGAGAAAGTCGGATAAATAGCTGTGCTTATTTAGAAAAGCGAAATACTCATCAGCTGAACTATGGAGTGCAGATTGCATCCTCATGTCGCAGGTGATGTGCTTCTGCTGAATATGTTTCTCATCCAGCCTCCTTCCAAGCGCTCATGCGCTCTTGGCGTCGCTGGCGTCTGTCCGCCATTGCGCTTCGGAGCGAGCGCGTCTTTCAGTGAGTGACAGAGTGAGAGAGAGAGAGAGAGAGAGAGAGACAGAGAGCGAGAGAGAGAGAGAGTGGGTGAGTGAATGACGGCCATAATGATGATAGATGATAGCCGTGGTGCTTTCTGTAATGGTAAATGCACAGTGATATTAAGTCTTCTCCGAAGGGTATGCGCCAGCCAGCACAGCTGCGCGCGTTCATGTACGAATACATGCAGGAAGAGAGATATGTGTGATATGCTAATGTTCAAAATAGCATACTGCTGTTAAAATTTTAAAGTTAAGTATCTTCAAAACCTAATCACTAAACTAAGTAGCTGGGTATTGACCTATCTGCATTAATTTTGTCTTTACGTTATCATATCGCTTTACTTCTACTCGTGTCCGGTTGATACTTGTTACAAGACTGATGGACTCGTCAGACAGATCACTCTCACTCTCTGCTTCGCTCTATACGGTAGTGCCAGGCGATTCCATGCTCGAGATCGTCTGTTAGCAGCCCCGTGCGAGATCGGACACACAGTTGTAAATAGCACTTACCCTTTTCATGGCTGGCCAACAACTGGAGTCTGGCAAGCTTTCCAGCTTCCAGACCTACAACGCGTCCAGCGAGATCTAAACTAAATGTGTAGTGATCCTCTGCTGAGATGTAACCTGGGCGCGTATCCCTTTGCTAGGCGTACAGGAACACAGGCACGCAAAAGTCTCTTTTTCCCACAGGCGCACAGCTGTAAATCGCTCTGCTAGAACCTTGAGCAGCAGGCATGGATACGTGCATGTGCCATGAAACAGACGTGCACCTGGAGTTCTTGACCATTCTTCAGAAGCTCAGTACAGAAGGACTTTAAAGCAGAAAATAGCAAGCCTTCTATGTTGAGAATGGTTACTGTATCTCGGCTCGTTGAGCCGCTCTTCCAAGCAATTGCCCAGCATAGTATCCGTGCGAAGGATCACAGGTGGATGAGCTTAGTAAAGTAGGCTGTCTTACCAAGCTGCCAAATCCAACTCAAGCAGTTCAGCTTGGGTGGCGGACCCATGGAGGTTCGGGTGACATTTTTTCTGCTTAGGCTGAGGGGTCGGAGCATTGAACTCTTGCGGGATCTGCCCGATGACGAAAACGAAGGGAGGAAGAGTTTGCGGGAGTGAACGTTTCCATTCGTCCGGAGTGCACCTTAGGCCATCCACTCAGTCACTCAAGGCCTTTGTGTGGACGTGCAGGTTGGAGATAGTTTCCGCATCAACCAGCCGTATATCGTCTGGAAAAGCAGAAGTAGCATGTTGAGCGATGCCAAGGCGCCGCTATTCTTTGGCGGGTGGAGCAACGAAGCAAGGAATATCCGGACCCCAAAGTCCAAGGTTCTCAGTCGGGAATATGTGAAAGTTTACACATTCCTTTGATTGGATTACTTATCTAACCAGATCCAGGAACACGGACCCCTAGCGCATGTCACCAACACCCGCGTAGATACTGGAGTAAGAGTAAGTGTTGCAGGCAGGGTACGTTGTATTCCGACAGTACGGAGCGGTGTCCTGACTGCATGTGGAAAAGGCTAACTTAAGCTTCTGAGCCGGAGTTCAGAATATGTCAGCAAGCATGAACAACCAAGTGCGAAGCTTTGGATACTGCGCACAAGCAATTCGATCAAGCTATCTTTCATTTATTTTCCTGCTTCGTCTGCTGGGCGCAATCTTTAGATGAGTGAGCTGCGGCACACTGCAGACGGTAAATGCTTCACTCCTGCGCGACGGAGGCCATCTTCCCTCTTTAGAGTGTGGGGCTTCTTGCCGGCTGGCTTTTTGTACATGGCACCTTTTACGGCGGCTCGTTCCGTTTCACGTCGATTGTGCAACGGGAGATGTGCCTTGCTGAGACGCTTGTCATCAGCAAGTTCTGAGCACCAAGCCGACCATTTTGGTTCGTCCCAAAGTGATTTCGTTGAAATACGGGACAAAAGCTCTGAGTGTGGAATCTGCCTGCATGTAGGCCTGTACAGAGCGCCATTATGTGACAATCCCTTACTCAGATGCAGAATACGAAGCTT